CTGCCAGATCTCAAGAGCTAACGCAGGTTGAAGCCTGGTTGGTATTTTAATGGAAGACTGCTGTGGAATACCACGTGTTGTAGGCTTGAGCTGCAAGGTAGCCAAGACATGGCGATACGGCGGTGAGGGGAGGGTGTAAATCCATCTACGTGAAACGTTGGATGTTAGCCCCTCGTATGTGTGGATTTTCTCTGGGCGGTGTTCTTTAATCCCCACATACTGAACACTCCTGATAAAAGAGCCTTATGGTGATTCAGTGACACGTTCCTAAACACAGGGAATTGTTGAATCAATGTCATAACAATATACATTTTCCACAAGCCTATGACCCAATCAAGGAGAATGTCCCCGATCTCGTCAGATCTCAGAAGCTAAGTGGGGGTTGAATCCCGACTGTGGTCTGATGGACGACCAACCACGCACAAAAACGGGTCGCACTTTAAACTCGGGCTGGGCAGCAGAGGGCAGTGCAGCAACCCTCACTTCGAAGACTTCAACGTAAACAAATTGTTTAGCGATGCTACGTTGGCAGTGGGTGCTGTATTTCGAGTACTTTTATAGTTCCCCCACCTGACAACTCTGGCTTACCAGCATGAAACATGGTCACGTAACCCCCATTACCAGCAAGTCGTGGTGAGGCCCTCATCCAGCGGTGGATTTACAAAGGGCGACTACTCGTACGTGTGCATACGAATGCATGGATCGCCCCAAGCGGTAACCGAATTAACCTCCCATTATCAAGCAGACAGATTAAAATCCGAACATCCACTGTGTGTTCAGTTTAGCGTTTAATTTCAATTTAACGATCTAACAATGTAAGGCCAAGAATAAAACACATCATCAGGCTAGCTTGTCAACGCCAGGACATGCTAAATAATAATAATTAATGGCAAGGTCGCCAATTCGCCACCCAATACATCCGTGTTATTAATGCGCTCTGCTGGATCAAGGCCTCCCATACGCCTGCCTCGTCGGTTGTGGCATGGGTTATTTGAACACGCTTCACCACACCGGGCCAGCTGCGCGTTGGCAAAGGGAGTGGCCAATTCCGGTTCAGTGACTACTTTCCACCGATACCAAGCTGTGGCTGGGAACTGATTCTAAGTTTTACAGGTTTCTAGTACAGACTAGATCACCAAACAAAGTGCCACCGTTCTACCCACATATACTGGAATTGCATGAAGAACATTACACGCATATTTCCCTTTTAGTCAGTTGAATGCAATGTTATAGTCACCACAAAAGCATCCATTGCTTATATTAAATCAAATATACCTGAGCAGAAAAACAGATAATGCATTGCATTTGTGAAATACTGTCCTTGAGATGAAAAAGCACTCTTTGAAAAGGCGTAGATGTTTAAGACGATATATTGTTTTCGTAAAGGCATTAACATTTAAAGTATCTACAGAACATCAAGCATTAACAATTAAATATAATTTTGATTTAAAGCTTTCTTGACTGCAGTAATTCATATTCTTAGCTCTTTCGGTAAAGTCACGTTGAAGGGAAACAATAAAATAATAAAAAAATATATAAAACAATAAAAAAAATTCTCACGACGTTTCGACCATAACACAAATGGTTTTTTTCACACCTGATGACGACCGTTTGTGTTATGGTCGAAACGTGAGAATTTTTATTGTTTTATATATATTTTATTATTTTATTGTTTCCCTTCAACGTGACTTTACCGAAAGAGCTAAGAATACAATTGAATAGAACTTGCAAGTTTATGCTTAAGGTCTGTAGCAAACACATACTACTTCTTCTTCTGAGTTCGCTGCCTTTAAGCGTTTTATAATAATGCTTTCTCATGCAGAATAAACCCTTCAGATTTGTAATATTATTTTCCAAGGGAAGTCTTGGAGAGATTACAGTGAGTCATTGGTTCCAGATTTTAAATAAATTACAAAATCAGCAAACACATTGGTATTGCGCGTGAAGGTAATTAATCAAATTATGAATCATAACTAAAATACATTAAATTAAATATTAACGTGAAAAAGAGCGGCGTAAAAGAATTTACACTAGTTACCACATTGCCCCTGATAATATCCATGGCTGGGAATTGAACTCACGTTTCTAGGTTCAAATTAAGTACGCAAAAATAAGTCGTATAGCTAAATGAATACGTTTTCAAACTTAAAATAGCAATATCTAACTGCTGCTGGATGGGTGTTAACGGTTCTGTTGAAAATCTCTCCGCTGAAGAATATTCAGTCTGTGAAGAAACTCCAAGGACGTGAAGTGAAACGTCGGACATCGTGTCAAACAACACTGCCTCTTCGAGGCATGAGCTGATTCACTTCGTCTGATATCGTTAACCTCACCGATAACAATCATACGGAATCATATAGGAGAAAGCTAAAACTGATAACTGTACTGTAGCCAGCATAGAGAAGCATGCTACGTGGTGTTCGACAATACCTTGAGTAGCATTATCTCCTCGGGGGAAAAGATGGGTTCAAACCCTATACGAGATCGTATGAAAGCAGTGGCGTAGCTATTGAGTGTGCAGGCGGTGAAACTGCACCGGGGCCCATAGGCAGGATACGAAGGGCTCAGAAGCAGGCCTACGGAGAGTCGAGGGAATTTATACTGGGGGCCTCATTTCATTATTTGCAGCAGGGACCATTCTAACCATGCTACATGGTTATAATGGTGCGTGGCACTCATCCTAAAGGGTGGCCTCAATAAACCAGCCATAATAATTTTATGGTATTCCTACATACGTGACTTTACCGAAAAAAAACAGAGTAATTTATGCAGTCACGAAAGCTTTAATTCTTTATTAAGCCAGCCATGCATTGCGGACTTCTAGAAGGCAATAAGTGAACGCAGTGAGAGACTGCCCGATTTGACAAGCAAGTGCGGTTAATTGTTTCGGCTATCACCGCCACTGTTGTATTTAATTGAGGCGCATGGATTGCCTGCTTGGACAGCGTGACGATGCCGTCTGCATGTGTACACAGCGTCGGTCAAGTGCCATGGAGTCTGAGTCATACGCAGGGCTTGATTTCTCACTCGACACATTTTGCGGAACGCTGCCGGGCTGGCTTCGAGGATTAGGGATTATCCACATAAGGCACTACCACCAGACTACAAGGTACACCCATCCATAATGATCCTATATTATTGTACCCTATATTCTTATGATCAGACATATAGGGTATACAATAAGGACAAAATAATTTCCGGCACAGCGTTCCGGACTGAAATTGGGCACTGGTCAAACGACCACATTTGTTGTATTGGAACTGCATTTTGGTACAGAGCCTCAGAATTTTTTTCTCCCACCCTGCATTTTCAGGGTGGGGGAGAAAAAAAAATCCCTGTTTAAATAAATGCCAAGTATTCATTAACTTTTGCAACGCCCCCCCACCCTCCGCAAGATACGCGCAGATGCGTTCGCGGCACCGTAAATGATTAATCAGCTTCCGTTGCAAAAACACAACGTGATCCATTTTTAGATATCCAACCAAAACAATTGGGAGATTAATATTGCAGTCCAGTAAAGGGAAAACATTTGAATTGCAGACCTCTATCCCCCACCAACCTCAATGCACTTCTTAAATATTTCAACATCTTTCCTGATGATACACTTTGTCCAACGCAGCATTCACAAAACCATAATGCAATCAGCACCTGTTGAGTCAAAAAAAAGGTGGACCGATAGAAAGCAATGATGTATCTGTAAATGGTTCACCCTGAAATTAAAATGCACTGAGTGTGCCCAGGGTTGCAGAAGCACTGTTTTTGTTTGATCTTACTTGACGCTGCTATGAGATTGTCGAGGATTTTCAGCTGTTGCATGTTGGTTTAATACCAAATAAAACTACCCAATCCATGCAAATTACTTCCTTCATACAGACGGCAATGCTCAAACGAGTTGAATATTCATACAAAATTCCATGTGCGTGCTGCAATGAAGACGGTGGACAAGATTTCATTAAACACTTAATTGTGTAACTGATCGAAAATAAATATATTTAATCGTGCGTAATGCAAATTGTTCCGAGTGAAAACGGAACATGATCTAAAGAAGGGAATTTTACGGATTAAACATACACGTCAGTTACGAATATTTTCTTCGACAAGGTAAACAAATAATCACGTTGGTTTAGTAAAGAGTTAATCATGCACAGGGCTATTCCCAGAGAGAGGAAAATACAGTCGAGAGGGAAATGTTTGTTAGTCATTAGTGATTCACGTGGTTCTGTAATGAAGACTATTGTGTACGATTTAAATACGTAATTGCTACTCCATAATTATCAAAAATCAATAATAGTTCACAATGCGAATTACTGATCGTCAATTAATGTCACGTAGTGCGGCAAAGGTGTTCATTAGAAAATAGGGAAAACGCAAAGGACACGCAAAATTTAAGCTGTCATAAAAACAGTATATTTCATATATACTGTATGTACTGATGGTGTATTGGACAGCGATTTGCAAGATAAAACACACACACAGAGCTCTGTGTGTTTTTACAAAAAAATTAACTTATATTTCTCTATGACAACTAAACAGTCATCCTTTATAATCCGCAAACAACGCAATCCATCAGTGTGCAGCAGAAGAAACCAATTGCAAGGCAACACAAGGACACGCACACATCATCATCACCATCATCACCACGACCAGCAGCAGCTATGATCAATCCACTGCTGGATGAAGGCCTGCCCTTACCAAAAGCAGTCGACATATCTCACGACCTTGCAAATGTAAATAATTCACCGAGCAGTGTTACACGAATTCATTGGGTACACACACATGCGCAGAGAGACACGCAGTGCCGGCCTTTCTAGCGCTAAAACCAGCATAGCTAGCGACATCATCGCATCTCATATCACAGCAGCAGCAGCAAGCCGCACCATGATTTTTCCGGCATTATTCGACGTACGCACATCATCCTGAACAAATACGGGCAACAATGAGAAGGGCATAGAACATTTGCAACGACAACAACATCAACAACAACAAAAAAATCAACGTACGTTTTTTTTTTCCCCCAGAAAGAACGGAGAGAAAGAGAGAGAGCCGTGCAAGGAAGGGATGGAGTAGTCAGTAGCCACTATGTAAACAAACAGCAGGGCAGGCAGAGCGGATGGCTACACGCAACGCAATATGGCACATCACTGCCTTACGTTACGCGCGCGCGTGTGTGTGTGACCGTGCGTGTCTAAGTGTGCGTGTGCAATTGGCTGGCTGCGTGCAAGGGGTGGAAATGCATAGAGAGGAGGCTGAGAGAGAGAGAGAGGGGAGGGAAGGCAGGCGGAGAGGAAAGAGAGGGAGAGAGAGAGAGCTTCGTAAAGATCATGAGCTTCGGGGAAGTTCCGCTCTTCCTTGTCACGCTGTCGGTCACACTGCGCGCGCACCGCCCAGACGTGCGCGCACACGCGCACCGCACGTGCACACGCGCACCGCACGGCCAGAGGAAACGCGCACACGGGACAATGGGCTGTTAGGAAGCGGACGCAGTTGTAAGTAAAGCGGAGAGAACTCTCGCCAAACTTGTGTTTTGTATTTGCGTTCGCGAGCTGAGGACATCTCTCTCCGCCCCCCCTCTCTCACTCCCATCTCGCTCTCTGTGCCGCCAGCGCTAGATGCCGTTATCGTAAAGGAGTGGATCCCCATCGAGTGATGACAGTCGTTTGACCGTGGCAGCGATTTGGCGAGTTGACGATCAGAAGAAGAAGCAGAGAGATAGAGAGAGGTGGGGGGTGGGGAGGGATAAAAAAAAATAAAACCCCGAGGGGGCTCAACATGCGAGCGAGAGGAGGAACGGCGGTGGCCGCCGTCCGAGCGTTTCACCTGCCCAGCGTCTTCTCCATCACCACCACCACCATCACCACCATCATCGTCGTCGTAGTCATCGTCCAGCAACTGCTCACGCGGTCCGCGCACGGCTTCCACGTGCACGGCAAGTTCCATTTCGGCGAGAAGACCAACAACTTCGCCGTGGACGGCGTCTTTCGCAAGGTGTACGTGGGGACCGTGAACAACATCTACCAGCTGAGCGACACCCTGCGCCGAGAGGACAGCGTGTCCACCGGGCCGGTCAACGACAGCATGCTGTGCCACGCGCCCACCGTGTCCTCCACGTGCGCGCACGAGCGCACCAGCACGGACAACTACAACAAGCTGCTGGTGGTCGACTCGCAGCAGGAGATCTTGCTGAGCTGCGGCAGCGTCCACCAGGGCGCGTGCGAGGTGAGGCGCCTGGGCAGCATCGTCGACGTCGTCGTGAGCACGGAGAAGCTCAACACCAAGAACCTCTACATGGCCTCCAACCACGCGGACGCGCCCACGGTGGGCGTCTTGGTGAGGATCGACGGCAGCAAGTATGGCATCATGGTGGGGGCCACCTTCACGGGGCAGGGTTCGGACTACTGGAAGCCGTCGGGCAGTCCGCCGGACTACCGCTACGAGAACACGCCCGAGATCGCCTTCAGGAGCATGAACGTGAGCGAGAAGGAGAAGCTGTTCAGCTACGAGTACGACTCGGAGGAGAGCGTCTTCAAGATCAGCGGCGAGAACAAGGTGAGGAGCAAGCTGCAGTTCGTCGACATGTTCGCGGTGGACAATTACGTGTACATACTGGTCAACAACAACACGGGCGACGCCAAAGAGAACAATTACAAGACGTCCGTCGTCCGCATCTGTCTCAGCAACACGCGGATTCACGAATCGTACGTGCAGCTGAGCATCGACTGCGGCGAGAAATACGACAACATACAGTCCGCCTTCGTGAGCCGCGACCTCCTCTACGTCCTCTTCAAGAGCTTCAAGAACGGCAGTACCATCGTGTGCGAGTTCGCCCTCGGCGACATCGACGCCCGGATCGCCAAGGCTCGCGAGGACTGCTTCACCCATCACTTGCCCGTGATGACCGCCCTGGATTTCAAGATGGACAAGTCGGAGACGTGCAAAAAGGCTGGAACGACGTCCACGCTGACGGTAAGTTCATCTGCTTTCACCAACCTCCCAGCCAACCCCCTTGCAAAAAATTATTGGACCGAATTGGGCCAGACAGCTTCTCACTTGATGTGAAGCTTTCGTGACTGCAGGAATCCGTAGTCTTTGGTTCTTTCGGTAAAGACACGTGGGTAGAAGATAAAACAAAATGAATGACGACGTTTCGGGCGCAACACAAGCAAGCGTCCGTCATCAGGTGGGAAAGCGTCTCTCTTTTTTTTTAGAAGCGACCCGGTCCACCAGTGATAGCTCAACGAGGTGGGCTTATCACGCGGGAATTGTATAGCAGCCAAAGGCTGGAAACGCGTGTTTCTATGAATGTGGAGGGAAAAACCGGAGGAACCCGGAGACAAATCCACGCGACCACGGGGAGAGTGACACGCAAACTCTAAATTAACAGCAGGCGTCTGGGTTTGGGATCGAACCCACGACCTCCTGTATACAATGCGAGGGGGTTAACATCTGGCCACCGCTGCGCCCATTTGAATAGTTGATCACTGCCGCTGCCACTTTTGAAAGGGTATTGACAGTGTAGCTTATGGTGAGTTGATCAACGAGGAAAATTGATATCTACTGAATTTTTTTGCCGGCTTCAAAATGCTGAACAAAAGAACACGTATTGCCACAAGTATGTGTGGGTCAATGCAGACTTGTGTGCCTTGCAATAGGTACCTATTTGGTGTTTTAAAATATTAACACCTGTTTTATTGCCAAAACTGATAAGTGCCTATTCCTATTTTGTTTTCACCCATTGGGAAAAGTTGATTGCTGTTGCCACTTTTGCAGAGGGCGTGAAAGTCTGCTGGGCACGCTGGCTATTGGCCGCGCCTGTGTTTTCAGGGTTTTGGAAGCGAGGAAGGGTTCCTTGAGTAACGCAGCGATTTCGAGTCGGTGCATGGAGATTCGTGAAAGTGCCCCCAGTGTGTTCAGCGTTGTAGATGTGGTAAATGAATAAATAAAGAACGCTGCTGCTGCATAGAACACGTGTGCAGGACGTCGGAGGGCAGCTCTGGGGTCTGGCGATCAAAGAGAAAGACTGGAAGACCAGATTGTTTACGGAGACTGCTGTGGCAGATATTTGGAATGCGTGTATGCCGTGCAGCAGCTGTGGTGATCTGGAGGAGGTGTAAGAAAGCATTGGCGAGGTGCAGTGTGGGCATTTTCAGATTTAGCCACGGTGTGTGTACGTACGTTGAGCTTCTTTCGCACCGTACGTAGCCAACCGTGCTAATCGGAGTTGCTGGGAACTTCTTGATCGAGGTCGCCAGGAGATGGCGATACAGCAAGTTGATTATTTGAATTAATTTGTGTCCAGCTTTAAGTATTATCTCACATGTAACACACGGTTGGCTGCGTACCGTGCAAAATAAGTTCAGCCTGCATACGTACTGTGGTGGAATTGTCCAAACATTCAAATAAAAAAAGTGTTTACACTCAGCGAGACCTCTGTGCAGCAATTGAGATGACAAGTTTAATTTAACTATTTAATATATATGTTTTATACGAAGGAAGGCGTCCGGGGGAGTACGTCAACTATGATGAAATCAGATCGTGTACAGGTGCTAGGTAGGGTTTTCTAGATCACTGGATCGTGGGAGATTGCAGCGGCGTGGGGAGGCGTTCATCCAGCAGTGTATTGAGCATGGCTGCAATACAGGAAGGTGGTTTAAATTATACCTGACGTGTGACTGCGACCATATCATTAGTCGCTGTACAAGGGGGCCGGTGGTGGCTATGCACGCCTCCTGTAATCCTGCACTGTGAGACTTCCTTCCCGTGGGGTGGTGAGATGCCATGCCGTGTCTCGTCAGAAGAAGGCGATACAGCAAATGTGGACTTCAGCCCGTTTCGTCTGTATGGGATAGAGTGTTGCCCCCTCGCATACGTGTGTTCTTTTAAGGTGCTCCGGGTTCCTCCCACAAATAAACACTCATTAATTGACCGAAAATACTTTCAGATATTGAGCGGACCGCAGAGGTTTAGGGGGAATTTGGTGCCAGTTCACCGCCTGGCTGCCTTTCCTTTTTGTCCGTGATTCCTCGCGCCTTTGAGTCATTCTCTCTCTTTGAGAGTGAGTGACTACCGTGTGCTTTACACGCGTTGAAATTATGATCAGGCACACGAGAAGATGACAGATTTTTGTTGTTGGTGAAGGCGATGGGGATGGTAGGGCAATACACAGAACGTGCGAGCAAATGTGTTATATAAATGACACGTTCAGTCGTAGCTAGAGGACAACGATGTTTTGGGCCTAGACTAGAACGAGATTGAGGAAGTGAGTGGGACACACCTATGGGAGGGGCTTCCAGACATTAGGAGCAGCAGCAGAGAAGGATCGACCTCTCTCAGTGAGTGCGGGTTGACTTCAAGGCATTCACAGAATACCTTGATTTCTCCAGCTGTCCGTGTTCGTAACACTAAACTAGTTAGTGCGTGCACTTCGCAACACTGCCGTGCACGCTGCTGGGACGCCGATACATGGTTGATAAACTTTTTGCTGTTTAAGAACGAGAGAATATCTATTCGCTGCCATCAAACACACAATATATATTTTTAAAAACATTATATATAATAAATACGAATCTATAGTACAAACGAGATTGAGAGATATGCAGGCCAGAGACGGAACTGATAAGACAAAAGTCAATCCTAGACGAGAGACAAGAGGAAGACGACCTTGCGCCTTCGACATGGAAGTGCACTTTGGTCAGAGGAAGGGAATTCCAAACTTTAGGGGCCCACACACGAGAGGAAGGGGCTCTCCCAATGAGTGAAAAATGAAGAATGACTTCGAGTTGCAACGGAGGGATTCGTTTGCTGGAGCGAATGTGTGTGCAATACCTGGGGTCATCTATATTTTAACAAATCTGCATTCCAGTGTGCCTTTGTTTGAATCTACACCATATATGTACAGTAGAAGTAAATCAACCCATAAAGGTCAGTTCATTGCGTATCTTTACATTAGAATAAAACAAAGAAGCACACTGCAGTACGTTCAGTGGTTTAATGTATCTCCCTTTAGGTTTCAAAGTTGGGTTCATATCACGGTTGCAGAGCAGAGGCCCAAAACGCCAAGGGGCCAGCAAAAAAACATCACTGTTAACGTGTTCTTATGTAGCAGTCAATTTGATCAAGGTTATAAGAACACGGAATATGAGATGATGGTGAGTGAATTAATTATTTCCTGCACCTGCATGTGATGCTGTCACTTTGAATTTACCTGTGGTTCGCATTTAATTTGTTCATCCCGGTGTGTCTGTGTGTGGGGAGCGGTAGTGCAGCAGTTAGCGCACTGCACTACGAACCCGGCGACCTGAGATTTATTCCCGCTCACGTCCAACACCGGTGATGATTATTTGAACCTCTCCTGGGCCTCCCCGAGGTCGACTCAGTACCCGGTGCAATGTGTAAACTTGGCCAACTAGGGAGACAAAGGCGGCCGGGCGTGGTGCTGGCCACTCACTCTCTGGTCCACCGTTTCGGCCTTCATAGGTGCTCACTAACAGCACTTGCCCTCAAAAGACTGTTAAGAATATACGGGGGGGATCTTTGTCTGTGTCTTTTGTCAGCTGACCTCCGAGCAAGCCAACTGTGGTGGGACTCACATGGAAAACCTGCTGGTGGTACTGGCACCTGTGAGCGGCCGTCTCATCTTCACGCAACCCAACCTCACGGCCGTAGCGGCGATCAGGTTGCACGGCTTCACCGTGCTCTTCCTGGGCAACTCCACGGGTCATCTGATAAAGGTGCGTCATCATCGTCGTTGTCGTCATCATCACCGCATTATATTTACACCGTGCCTCCCATGCAGTACACCTCTAGCCACCCCGCAGCAGGCGACAGGCACCCAGTGGCGGCTGTCCCTGCAAGGCACGGGGTGAACTTAGCGCTGGCAAGCAAGTGGGCGTTGTTCTGCCAGTAGACGGAGGGTGGTGTTGCCATGTGGCTTCCCAATTAAGCAACTTAAGAGCAATCGATTAATTTTGGCAGATTGGACCGTGATGCCGGCACACTTGGCCTGCGTTCTTTTTGAATGATGCCGTGGAATATTTAACGTCTGCCGCGAATCAGACAGAGGCCTGTTTTCACGGCGAGTATATATGGAACCGTGCCCGCCATGAACCTCTGCAACCAGCGGAAAACGCACTTCTGCATGGTATTGTCTGGGCGTGGTAATTAGATGTTTGGCAGCACGTACCATCGTTGTTACGTGGCATGGCTATCGTAACGCGATCGCTGTGTGGTTGCATGAATCCCACACCTCAGATTAGAAGGTTGGCTGTGTATGGTGCGAAAAAAGTTCAACATGCATACCATACAACAGAAGAGAATACGCTTGAGCAGCTGCGATCGTTATGAACGGAATATCTTTATAAGCATGGCTTGTTGTGCACAGGTAATGCTGCACATATTTATACTGGAAATATATTATTGATATATATTTTTATTTTACCAGTTAAAGCTCACTCATCTATGTAGCTCTTTTTTAGTAGTGCCCTGGTCACAAATGATAGCTCAACGAAGTGGCTTATCATCATGTGGAACTTTATAGCAGCCAAATACTCTAAACGCACGTTTGATTCTGAATGTGGAGGGAAGGACCTGAGGACCCGGAGAAAAATCCACGCGGCCAAGGGGTAGGAATATGCTGCCGCCCAGTGTCAATAATTATTGGATGAAGCTTGCATTTACATTTTCACTTGATCTGTCGCGTTTACGAAACTTGACACAGTGAAGGGTGGCACTGGCCGTTAGTCTGCCAGTAGTTGGCGGCGATCGCTGTGTGGGTAATTTTTCGAAAGTTTTCTCAATTTTGAGCAAGATTGACATTGTGCGTGTTGTTTTTAGTCATGGGGAGAAACCGGGAGAATCCGGCGGAAATCAATTATAACAAGGGGAGAATAAATAAACTCCACAGTAATACATCCTAGTGAGGAGTCAAACCCAGATGCCGCTTGCTGTGAAGCGCAAGCTTAAACACTGCGCCGCTCTGCCTCCCCAACTCACACGCAAGGATGAGCAGCAACTTGAAGAGATTTTCAGAAGCATTCCCGTGACATCTCTTTGTGCAGACCGTTTTGAGTTTGACTGTTCATCTCGCGTCACGACGCCCGAGCACGGTTGGAACACAGTTTTGGGGGGGGGGGGGGGGGGGCGAAAGACGAAAAATTGCGGTAGCCAAACGTTTTGGTTCTGTGTGAGGGCATCCACAGCGGTGGTGCCATGAGGGCAACCGACCTCGGCCCACGCATGACCCATCCACCCCCAATCTCACACCCCCACAACCAGCAAGCTGCCCTGTACAGAACACCGTTGAAAGCTGTTATGGAGCTGGAGGGGTGGTGGTACAGCCAGCGTCGCACCCAGCCGCCTTTGTCTCCCCAGTGCTGCTGTTTACTTTCCACAACGGGTACTAATTTTAGAGTCGAACCAGAGGAGGCCCAGGACCGGTTCAGATAATTACCGCCGATGTTGGCCGTGGCCGGGAATCGAACTCCAACGGGATCATAGCCATCAAGGGCGCTAATCTCTGCACTGCCGCTCTCGCAACACGCAAAGACAAAGGTCCCCCGTAAGATCTGGACAGACCGTTGAGACAAGTGCTGCTAGCGAGCACCTGTGAAGGCCGGCACGGCACACGCACACTCGGCCCCCAGATGCCCCCTTCTTCATGCGTTGGGATCAGTGCTGGTTTGCACGATCGGAAAGATATCGGGTTACAAGGGAGTGTAACTACATTCGTCTAAACAGCTGCGATGTTTAATTAAAAAGATAAATAAATAAATACATAACCCAATTCTACTATGATGAGAATGTATCTCATCTGTGCTTCTCCAATTTACTATTTGCTGCCTATACACACTTCGCTTAGCACATTGGAGCTGAGCGAGTGCCTCATGAAAATGCTAATTATTTTCTGGAGGGGATATGAAGATTACATTCACACGAATATAATCGAGTCTATGCCTACAACCATATTTTAAAAAATGAGCATTTTCTAATTTGTGCTCCCAAAACTGATATTTCCGGAGGTTGATTTGTTTCGCCGATAGGACAAGGTCATACAAAAGTTCTACACCGCAGGCGTCGGGGTTGGGATCGAACCCCCGACCTGTATACCAAGCGAGGTAGTTAACATCTCGCCACCATGGAGGCTTAACCATAGACCAGCTGCGTGATTCGAAACGGGAACCTCTGCAGCAAACGGCGAGCACGCCACCGCTGAGCCGTGTCACCGCCCCCGCTCGTGTAACAGCTGTTTATCTCATCGCAGGTGAATAAGCTAATTATTTTCACGGTATTCACCTACCACTTTGAGCCGCGTAAGTCCAATGAAATCGATGCTAATTCTAGGAGCATGAGCGCACTGCAGATGTAGGGTAACGTAGGGTAACGTTGCGCAGGTGTGAAATCCTGCCTTGCAAGGAACGTTGCGAGGACGGTTCCAAAATACAAGCAGCCTCGCGATGAAAAAACAAAACTCGGTGTCCGTATCCTCATATTAGTCGTAAGTTGTCGCTTTCAAAGTAACCGTACGTAGTTTAAGAACATGGGGCTTAGTTATGGAATAAGTCAATAGTTTGACACTTAGGCATACATGGCACGAACAAAAGTGTTGACTGGGCCGTGCCAGCACGGATGAATGCCAGTTCGTCTTGAGTACATCCAACTCCACGGTACTTTATGAACATTTATCCCCTATCAAGGAAGGTGGACAATGTTTTTTTTTTATTATAACTACAGCCCCTAATTGGTTGACACATCGTGCACAAATACAAAGCCACTTCGTGATTCGGATAACGAGCACGCACATATTTCGAGCGTGGAACTGCCTTCGTGGATCTGCCTTCGCGGGCAATTAAATTAAACACAACTTTTTATTTTACCAGGTGAGGCCCCACTGAGCTGTATAGCTCTTTTTCAGAAGCGACCTGGCCACCAAATGATACCTCAACGAAGTGGCTTACCGTGTGGAAATTTATCGCGTCCAAATACTCTAAACGCACGTTTCTAAATGTTGGAGGGAAAAGCCGGAATACCCGGAGAAAAAAAACACATGACCGCGGGGAGAACATGCAAACTCCAAATATGCAGGCGTCAAAGTCGGGATTGAACCCACGACCTCGTGTACACCAGGCGAGGTAGTTAACATCTCTTTGATTCAACAGTGGAGTGAACACGCGTGCCGTTTGGTGTGCGCCAGGCAGTCAAAGGTGACGCTGGCAGCGGCGTGAAGGTGATGGGCACGGAGCTGCTCGACTACGGGAACCCCGTTCACCCCAACATGCTCTTTGACCCGGCGGACAACAGCTTCCTGTACGTCATGACCTCCAGCAAGGTGCGAGGGTGGTGTGGTGTGTGGGCACGTGGCAGCAGCACGTGCACTCGACTGCATGCGCCAACCGACGCTCTCACGAATAATAAATCCCGCATGCCGGGATTTATTATTCGTGAGTCAGCGCACACACATACACACAATCAGCACACACACACATTCACAATGAACACACAACACACACATTCACAGAGTCAGCGCACACACATACACACAATCAGCACACACACATTCACAATGAACACACAACACACTCACAGAGTCAGCGCACACACATACACACAATCAGCACACACACATTCACAATGAACACACAACACACTCACAGAGTCAGCGCACACACATACACACAGTCAGCACACACACACATTCACAATGAACACACAACACACACATTCACAGAGTCAGCGCACACACATACACACAATCAGCACACACACACATTCACAATGAACACACAACACACACATTCACAGAGTCAGCGCACACACATACACACAATCAGCACACACACACATTCACAATGAACACACAACACACACGTTCACAGAGTCAGCGCACACACATATTCACACAATCAGCCCACACACACACATTCACAATGAACATGCAACACACTCACAGAGTCAGCGCACACACATACACACAATCAGCACACATATTCACAATGAACACACAACACACACATTCACAGAGTCAGCGCACACACATACACACAGTCAGCACACACACACATTCACAATGAACACACACATTCACAGAGTCAGCGCGCACACATACACACAATCAGCACACACACACATTCACAATGAACACACAACACACACATTCACAGAGTCAGCGCACACACATACACACAATCAGCACACACACACATTCACAATGAACACACAACACACACGTTCACAGAGTCAGCGCACACACATACACACAGTCAGCACACACACACATTCACAATGAACACACACATTCACAGAGTCAGCGCGCACACATACACACAATCAGCACACACACACATTCACAATGAACACACAACACACACATTCACAGAGTCAGCGCACACACATACACACAATCAGCACACACACACATTCACAATGAACATGCAACACACACATTCACAGAGTCAGCACACACATACACACAATCAGCACACACACACATTCACAATGAACACACAACACACACATGCACACAATCAGCACACACACACATTAAGACAACCAAATTCAAAGACAACTTTCACCTTCTAGTGAGGGAAAAAAGCATTTGATCCCCTGCTGATTTTGTACGTTTGCCCACTGACAAAGAAATGATCAGTCTATCATTTTAATGGTATGTTTATTTGAACAGTTAGAGACAGAATAACAACAACAAAAAAACAGAACAATGCATGTCAAAAATGTTATAAATTGGTTTGCATTTTAATGAGGGAAATAAGTATTTGACCCCCTCTCAATCAGAAAGATTTCTGGCTCCCAGGTGTCTTTTATACAGGTAACGAGCTGAGATTAGGAGGCAACTCTTAAAGGAAGTGCTCCTAATCTCAGCTTGTTACCTGTATAAAAGACACCTGTCCACAGAAGCAATCAATCAGATTCCAAACTCTCCACCATGGCCAAGACCAGAGAGCTCTCTAAGGATGTCAGGGACAAGATTGTAGACCTACACAAGGCTGGAATGGGCTACAAGACCATTGCCAAGCAGCTTAGTGAGAAGGTGACAACAGTTGTTGCGATTATTCGCAAATGGAAGAAACGCAAAAGAACTGTCAATCTCCCTCGGCCTGGGGCTCCATGCAAGATCTCACTTCGTGGAGTTGCAATGATCATGAGAACGGTGAGGAATCAGCCCAGAACTACACGGGAGGATCTTGTCAATGATCTCAAGGCAGCTGGGACCATTGTCACCAAGAAAACAATTGGTAACACACTATGCCGTGAAGGACTGAAATCCTGCAGTGCCCGCAAGGTCCCCCTGCTCAAGAAAGCACATATACATGCCCGTCTGAAGTTTGCCAATGAACATCTGAATGATTCAGAGGACAACTGGGTGAAAGTGTTGTGGTCAGATGAGACCAAAATGGAGCTCTTTGGCATCAACTCAACTCGCTGTGTTTGGAGGAGGAGGAATGCTGCCTATGACCCCAAGAACACCATCCCCACCGTCAAACATGGAGGTGGAAACATTATGCTTTGGTGGTGTTTTTCTGCTAAGGGGACAGGACAACTTCACTGCATCAAAGGGACGATGGACGGGGCCATGTACCGTCAAATCTTGGGTGAGAACCTTCTTCCCTTAGCCAGGGCATTGAAAATGGGTCGTGGATGAGTATTCCAGCTTGACATTGACCCAAAACACACGGCCAAGGCAACAAAGGAGTGGCTCAAAAAGAAGCACATTAAGGTCCTGGAGTGGCTTAGCCAGTCTCCAGACCTTAATCCCATAGACAATCTGTGGAGGGAGCTGAAGGTTCGAGTTGCCAAACGTCAGCCTCGAAACCTTAATGACTTGGAGAATATCTGCAAAGAGGAGTGGGACAAAATCCCTCCTGAGATGTATGCAAACATGGTGGCCAACTACAAGAAACGTCTGACCTCTGTGATTGCCAACAAGGGTTTTGCCACCAAGTACTAAGTCATGTTTTGCAGAGGGGTCAAATACTTATTTCCCTCATTAAAATGCAAACCAATTTATAACATTTTTGACATGCGTTTTTCTGGATTTTGTTGTTGTTATTCTGTCTCTCACTGTTCAAATAAACCTAGCCTACGTTGGATATTGGGGCAGTGCTGTTTCCGAGCACCTAAGAAGTTTTGCACGATGCACGAGGGGGTGATGTGGCTAGCACCACTTCCAGCCACCTATGTCTCCCCAGTGCTGATGTTTACACACTGCACCAGGTACTCATTCACGATTGAGTCAGCGGAGGCTGAGGACTGGTGCATATGTTTGTCACTGATGTTTGCCATGTGCGGGAATCGAACTGGGGAAATGGGGTTTGTTGTGCAGTGTGCTTACTCACTGCGCTTTCGCTCCCCAGCACATATAAAGACAAAGGTCCCCCTTATAGCCTTGTAACAAACTGCTGCGAAAGTGCTGTTAGTGAGCAACTGTGAAGGCTGGAACGGCACACGAGGGGGTGGGTAGCTAGCAACCACTCCCCGGACGCCTTTGTCTCCCTAGTTGTGATGTTTACATACCGCACCAGGTACTCAGTTGAGGCTCAGTCGACCTAAACACAGACGCACACACATTCTTCCCGTTAGTCGGACTGTGCCAACTTCCGAACGGTGACTGCGTCCCCTGGTGCCTGACAGTGCTGCGAATTGTCTAGTTTCTTGCACTTACCCGCCACAGATCGGGCGAGTTAAGGTGACGCGGTGTGCTCACCACACTTCGTGCGCGAGCTGCCTGCAAGCCAGGGACCCGTACTGCGGCTGGTGCACGCTTCTGGGAAGGTGAGCCCGTCCCCTCTGCCGCCTCCGGCACTGCGCGGTTTTTCCGTTTCAGCCGCAGCAGTCCGGAACGACGTTCCGGGAAATCTTTTCGGAGTATGTATTTATTATTTTGCGCCGTGCATAGCCAACCGCGCTAACCAGAGACGTGACATCCGCCTTGCCTTGTCCCCGTGATAGCGTGGTGATGCTTGCGGTGGTGTGTGCATATCAGAGTACAGGAACATCCTTCTTGAGTTTTCCTCCTAAGTGACCCACTCTTCCTCCAACCAGTTAGATCTTGTGCTTCCCGTTGAATTTCCCAGGACACCTCCCCACTTTGCAATCTTTCAAACAGTCCCTTCCTCTTCCTACCTCTAGACATTTTTTTTTCCAATCACCCTACCCACCAGAGCATCCTGCAGCAAGCCCTTCCCTCTGACAAAACATGCCAGATCCAGTCACGTTGCCTTCTTGGCAAGATTGCCATCGGGCTTAATCCTTTCTTTCCGAACCTGCCGAAAGACTGCCTTGTTTGTTTTCCGTCCTCTTGATTCTCTCCGTTCAATACCAAATCCTCTTGATTGGAAGATCTCCAATCAAGGACACAGGGTAACAGCACTACAGCATTGTTGTGAATAGGTGTGCTCCGTACACCAGTGGTAGTGCTTTATGCTGACATAATCCCTGCTCCACGCCAGCCGGGCAGCCAGCGTTCCAGACAGCAACGAGTGAAATGAAGTCCTAAGCGTAGTCGCAGTGATGACCCCCCATGAATCCTCGGAAGCCAGAAGTGCACAGCTGTTGCATTTCAAACTCCGCCTGAACATTTCCCTTTCACCGTTTCTGTTTGCTTTAACGGCATAACTACAGCTGCAAAGGATTGTTTTGAAGTCACTAATTATGAATGTTATTTATTTATCCAAGAAAGCCTCCAAGATATTTTCAGGAGGGCGGTTGCTTTGGAATGTTTTGCCCAATTACTTTGTTTGAGAAGTGCAACAACAGTGGTCATTCTGAAGAGCGAACATGGGTAACAGTAAATAGAATCTAAATTCCGTTCTGTCTCTACAATTTAAAAAAATATCTCTTAAGTCCATCAACCGACCAGCTTTCCAAGACCAATCTTACCAAGCAGCATCCGTTTAAAGCAAGTAAACTCTGGGCCAGTTTTGACAGCAATCAGGCTTGTTAAACATATGTGGCTCGTTTAAATCTCCATCTGGATGATGGGAGTGTAGCTAAGTAAATATATTAATTTTTTCCAGCGAAGGCCCACTGAGCTATGTAGCTCTTTTTCAGAAGCGACCTGGCCACAAATGATAGCTCAACGAAGTGGCTTATCGCGCGCAAATGTATAGCAGCCAAACACTCAAAACGCACGTTTCTAAATGTTGGAGGGAAAAACCGGAGGACCCAGAGAAAAACCCAGGTCACCACAATAAGAACATGCAAACTCCAAATATATAGCAGGCGTCAGGGTCAAATACTCTAAACGGTCACCTTCGCTCACCAGTTTCCACTCCTCACTCAAAACTCACTTGTTATTCCGAGCTCACCCCGTAACCCATTAATTTACCCATCATAACCACCACTGCTACTGTTCCCTCTTCACGTTCTCATTATATGGCTATCACTCATTCCCCATTCATTCAACCCATTCATCATCATTTACTGTCATCAATTCCACTTTCAACAAATTCACGCGTACACAGTTTTTCCCCATTGCTTCCTCTCATCTATTTTATTCACCTCGTCTCCACCATTACATTCATAAGCACCGTTCTTAACCTTCTGTAAAGCGCATTGGCTAAGGCGCTATACACAGATTCCTTTAAGATAAGATAATGGTCGGGGTCGAACCCACGACCTCCCGCATACCAGGCGAGGTAGTTCACATCTGGCCACCGTGGTGCACTGTGTGCATGACGGTGTGTGTGTGTGACTCTGTGTGTTCTCGTGAACAGATGCACGTTGCAAAATAGGTGCCCTAACTCCAGCGTTGCCTCTCACTGGGTGGACATTGGCTCTGGGATGACTCGGTGTCCTACTATGGAGTTTACCACCACGTACATCAACGCGGATGAGAGAACGCAGGTCAGCCCCACGTGATTGTTCTTAAACTAGTGATTGTGTGTTGAAGTGGACGCCTATACTGTATATGTGAGTTTCTGCCTGGACATATAGTACTTGTGTGGGTGTCTTTGTGTGTGTCAGATTCTCTGAATGAATTAATGTGGGGGAGTTTAGACGTGCGTGTGTCGGTTTTCTCTGTACGTTTGTGTAAGTTTCTCTGTCTGCACATGCTTGGGTGAGTTTCTGTGTGTGTGTGGGTAAGTTTATCTTTATACGTATGCATTATTTTCTCTGTATGTGTATCTTTCTCTATGTATGTATGTTTAACTTATTTCGCACTGTACGTAGTCAACCGTGCTATTCGGAGGTGAGCGAGTTTCTCTGTACCTTCGAGTGTGCGCGATAGTTTTCCTGCGTGCTCCTCTGTACACCCACGTGTGCCTGTACGTTATTCTTGGCGCGATTACAGGAGGTCAAGGTTCAGGTGTCAGGCCTTGTGCCTGAGCTCAAAGACTTGGACTTGTGGTGTGAGTATGAGGCAACCAAAACCAAGCTCAGCTACGTAAACTCCACGCTGGCCTGCAGCCTCCCGCCACCCGCCAACTTCTCTCAGCTCTCCTCAAACGAAGGTGTGCCCAGCAGTCACGTGGCACGAGCAGTCACGTGGCATGAGCAGTCACGTGGCACGAGCAGTCACGTGGCGGGGTTGTCTCGGGCCCTGGCGCAAGGATAAAAGTTTTTGTTTGTTTGTTGTTAGATTGCATAAATATAAATACGTCGTTAAACCCGCCAACACCCCATACATGCCAATTAGTAAGGTTTTTACGTGAACAAAACGTGCCAATTAGTTACTACCGGTGTGGTGGAGAGTAGACCCACAACATTTACAATGTGAGTGCCGATTTTTATTGGGTGATTACAACCTGGATAGGTGGCAACCCCAGCCACTTACGATTTAGACCGAGGCGCCTCGGTGGTGTCGTACGAGCAGTTCACGTGCACGCATCCACCAATCATAGCCACCCGACTTGAGGACCTGACATTGCTGCACCTCCCCGAGTCCCAGGAATCTCGGAGCGTCTCCGCGTTGCCTACACCTCAAGCCGATAGTGCCAGGGCCCCCGGTCAACCACCAGCGCTTGCCCCTGCCTTCCCCCCCCCCCGCACCCCCTCCATAGCCCGGCACCCGTGCCTCTACAGTCCGTGGGTCCCAATGCACCACGGTTAATCTGCTGTCACGTTGTTCACTTACGGCTCGCGGGAATTTGCGATCGGGCAGGTGCCAAGACGCAGATGCTCCTGCTCGTGTTTGGTCCGGGATAACTGTACAATGCAACTGTACAAGGCCTTGACCTTCGATCACTGTCGATATAAATATGACATTCGGTATCCCTTTTGCTTTTGATGCACGCTGCGATGCAAATTGCTTGAACTTGACATCAATAAGGTCACGAGCATTAGACACTCCGCGAAATGAAATACGATAATGCAATTGGGATTCATACAGTGTCGATTGTGAGCCTCATCTCCTGTGGGTTAGTGTGTGAGTGCGTTTACGCATGGGCAAGCGGAGTCTCGCTGTATTTGTATAAACCTTAGTGCCCTACCGTGGTGTAGATTCATGCAGAGATGCATACCCTCCCCTATCTTGTACTGACCAGCCCTGTGATGAAGGATGGTAACACAACCTCCGTGACTGAAAAGTGTGGGGAGGCCTTCATCCAGCAGTGGATAGATACAGTACGAGAGATGATGTTATATACCATCACTCTTTAGAAGTCACGTGACAATGCAATGGTGAAGGCCAAATCTGAAGCTCATTGTGCATGCATCCAATCACGTTTAGAAGAAATACTATTATATTACTGAAAATTAGTTTTTATTTTACCAGTTAAGGTCCACTGAGCTATGCAGCTCTTTTTCAGAAGCGACCTGGCATCAAATGATAGCTCAACAAAGTCTCTTATTACGTGGACATGTATAGCAGCCAAATACTCAAAGGGCATCCATAATAGAGGTTTTTGGGTTAGATCGCGTAAATATATAAATGTGTCGTTAAAACCCGCCACCACCCGACACAGCCAACTCGTAAGGGTTGTCACGTAAACAGAACGTGCCACTTCGTCACTAATACAGCACACCGGTGTGTTGGAAAGCCAGCACACAGGTGGTGGCGGGTTTTAACAACACATTTATATATTTACGCGATATAATCCAAAAACCTCTATTGTGGATGATATTGGTCGCGAAAGCCTCCTACTTGTTAAACTCAAAGAGCATGTTTCTAAATGTGGAGGGAAAAACCGCAGGACCCGGAGAAAAATTCATGCCACTCCGGTGAGAGACATGCAAACTCCAAATATGCAGCAGGCGTCAGGGTCTGGATCGAACCCACGGCCTACCGAGCGAGGGAGCTAACATCTTAAGAAGACTCGAGACAGAACAAACGAGACAGAACAAATGAGTCGTAGAAAACGAGAAAAAAATATATTAATTCACCAGCCTTTGGTCGATCATTCCAGCGCAATTCTGGATTTCCTCAAACGGGGCACAAAGCAGTTTGCTTCTGAGTAGCCAAACTGAAACGCTGATGTGTGGCTTCCCGCTCAACTGCAGGTTCCCGGACGGTGACAGTCTTCATGATGTACAACCGAACCAGAATACTGTCAGGCAGCGTGACATTCTACAAGTGCTCAAACATCGGAGCGATACATGTCAACATTCCGTGAGTTCATCTTCTTGTTTAACGAGTTGCTTTTTCTTTTTAGTCAAGGTTGTTATTACTTGAGAGGTATCTGCCCCTTTTTTTCGCAAGCGTTGTCCTTTTTTTCTGTTTAAAAAAAAAACAACGTGTTTTTCAATTCACCGTCACTTACGCTACAGCCCAGCTATATGGTGACACGTGCAGCTTCGTGAATTGTGTGCACGTCACAGCTCGCAACCCCGTTGTTAGAGTGGGGCAATGCATGCCGGTCATGCATGCGGACGAGCAAATTAACGGTTGTGACATAAAACACATACTTGGGGAAAATCACACCGTTATATACATTTCGAAAGAATAGTTTTGACCGGCTCGCTGGTTGGCACGCAAGTGAGAGTGCACCGGTAGTGACGTCACCCACACCTCGCAGGGTGTTGCGATTATCATCACCCTCCCCTACTACCCACCTTGCACCCCGGGCCGTGTATCCCATGAACAGGCGTGGGCCATGCCAGTATATATGCTATACGGCTGTGAAACATCGTACCTGCTCCTCTTTTGCCTGGCAAAAAAAAAACTTTTTTGTAAGGTGGCCAATATATGATTCGACCGCGTGAGAATGATATTATGTCGTATGTAAAGCACGTAAACGTCACTCATACTGCTATGCAGTATGTAATGCACTGTTAGAAAGGTCGATGGCCGTCGGTGGCGAAAATTAATGATGGGAGTCGCAGCTTACGAACGGAACGCATCTGGGAAGATGTCCATTGAAGAGTTGGAGTGATGACATCAGCCTATACCGTCTGTGCTAGGCGGATTGTTACATTGCAGGATCATGCGGTATCGGTGCAGGCCTTCGATCAGAAGTGGATTGAACATGGCTGAGATGATGACGATGATGATTTTGAAGAGAATACTCTTACATGGGTGTATATTTTTTTCCAGGCATACTGGCGCTTTTCAAACCACTTTGAACACCGCTTCCAACTAATTTCTTGTGTGTGTCATCTGCTGCCAGCGTGAGCCACGGAGATTGTAAAGAGGCAGCAGTAGAAGCAACAGCTTTTTTGTGTCTCAGCCACCACTTGACCTGCCGCAAGTGGGGTGATGTGTCAAGTGACCAGATGCTACTAATATCAACAACGAGAATTATTCGTACATATGGCAATCACACCATTCTCATAGCACACGGCTACCACAAAGGCGCTATGCTTCACAGACGGGGGGGGGGGGGGGGGTATAGTCTGCCAGTTGGGGTGAGGGGGGGTAACCAAATGAAGCAATTAGTCAAGTTGTTGACTTGCTGGTACATTTATTTTGAGCGTGACGCCAGTGCACATGGCCTACGCTCGTTCACACAACGTCAAACAACGTCACGGCATCCGTAACGTCCGCAACTAGCACAAACGGAGTTTGCACCGGGGCGGGGGAGGGGGGGGGGGGCAACACCCTGCCCAAAATGGGCACCTTTATGAATTTACTTTTTGGTAGTTTACAATTCAGATAAAACAAAATGTAATTATATTCCTAATGTGAGGGACAAAGCGAACCCCTGCCCGCCTGCCCGCCCGCCCGCCCGCCCGCCCCCCCCCCAAATATAGAAGCCAAACTCCGCCTATGGACGGCGCGCATTCGCGGCCAACACACGCCCGCAGTATTAACCAGGGCGGTCGCCCGGTATCCAACCCGCGAAGCCGTGCAACAAATGGCGGCGTAACGCGACGCCAACGGCTCGGCTCGCGTTGCCGCCTCGCCGCGTCGCCCGGCCTGGACCGCGTCGCGCGCAACCGTTTGCGTCGATGCGCCTCTCCTATTGGTTGTTTTTTTTTGTTGTTGTTGTTGTTGTTGCTTTGCCACCGCGGGGGCAGTTGCACCAGCTGCACGGACAGAAGATGGGGCTGCCACTGGTGCGCGGGCGAGCACAGCTGCGTGTCCGCACCGTCACAGTGCTCCGACATCAGTAACGTGGTTAAGGTGCGTAACACGAGGATGATGAGGCTACGCGCGCCGCGCCTTATCGCCGCCAATACGCCTAAGTGCACGAATGGCGTGCCGATCTGCTTTTGCCGAAATTACTTTAGAGCGCCATTAATGGCCACCGCTGCAAGAAATATTCACGGAGGGCTGCCGATTTGAACGAGTAAGTCACGGTGAGAACTCTTGCCAACGGTTTATCTGCTGTTGAAGCTTACGTTTCTGGATTCGGCTAAGTGGTCGTTCTGAAGAAGCAATGAACGCATAAGTAACCCAGATATTTCGATTTAAAGCTTTCGTGAGTGCAGGGATTCACTTTATTGGTTCTTCCGGTAAAGTCACGTAGAAGGGAAATAATAAAATAATAAAAATCAAATATAATAAAATGAAATTCTCACGACGTTTCGGCCACAACACAGGAGGACGGCTACTTGTGTTGTGGCCGAAACGTCGTGAGAATTTGATTTTATCATGTTTTATTTTATTATTTTATTATTTCCCTTCCACGTGACTTTACCAACAGAACCAAGAAGATAACCCAGATATGGCGGTAATGACGCGAGTGTGCATCGATTCCCGCGATTGCCGGTGCAGTATCTCTCTCATTTGGCTGCCGTTTTGGCCATTCACTTTGCTTCACTTAGAGAGAGAGAGAAAAAAGTAAAAAAAACACAAACTAGGCAAGCCAGTCTAATAAGTAACCTAGTTATTAATAATACACAGCCCTTTGTCAATGCCCTGCTGGATGAAAGCCTTGTCTTGAGAGTTGTTTTACTATACTTCACCACGTTGGTCAGTGTACGGGTTGATAAGGAAAGGGAAAAGGGGTCCCAGGACCAGGACCAGAATCAGAGTAAGAATATTTATTTATTTATACTGCCGAAAGAATCTGTTGAGCTATAAAGCTCTTTTTTCACGGATGACCAGTCGGGGCACGGGGTAGGAACGTTACAGCAACAAACAGTACAACAACGACAACACGATAGGAGTGCAAAGTACAAGAAAGGTAAACAGATCACCCAAACACAAACAAATACAACATTAAACCATCCCCCCCATCCTACCAGACAAAGCCCACCGAGGTATTAACTTATTATTATTATCCAAAAGCGACCTGGCCACAAACGATAGCTCAACAAAGTGGCTCATCATTTGGATATTTGAAGCAGCAAAATTATCTAAATAGTCTTAACGCGTGTTTCTATGATGATCACTCACCACTGATGTTAGGCATTTCTGCGAATCAAATTAAAACTGTCTGCATTCACAGCACAGTGCTCAGACTTCCGCTCCACCGCTCCGCCAATTAAACTTCTGAACTCTCTCAAATCTTTTACTGGTCACACGTGACAAAGTGTTTGGTTTTCTAGAGGTATATTTTTGAAGGCTAGAGCTACTCACAAATAATCGAAAACTAAATTGCCAATTATTTTTTGACAGAATCGTATCTCGCCAATGGTGCATATGTACACTCGAATTAATGCAATAGACCAACACAAAAGAACAAGAATTTTCACCACTCTCATCGTTAACACCGTCCATTGACTGAATTTTAGTTTGATTTAAAATAATGCATAACCTCACCAATCCACACTGACTATCGAGTTGAAATAAATCGCCCATGGCTGATATGCATGCGTATGCTTTCATTCAGCAGTGGATTGAGTGAAGGTACAATTGACATTATTTTCGCTATTATTTGTTGTTAATTATTGACATATGTTTTGATTGTCAAAGTGTTTGCAATGTAATTTCTTGAGTTTCCATCCGTTTTAATCTTTTTAATCTTGGGCAGCCATGCATATTGCTTTTTTTTTAGGAACACGCACACACCAGCCAACCCATGTGTATTTCATCTGAGAATAAGAAACCCGTCTGGATTTAATTTTCCATTGCATAAAAAAGCCACCACTAAATTTTGCATGTAAGGGGAGGACAGACAATGTATATGCTCACCAACACAAGTGAAAATGTTTTCCTCAAAAAAACAAAACCGAAAAAAAACGCACAAATAGGGAAAATACAAATAATGTTTCAATAAACTTAATAGGTTGATTGAATAGGTCACAAGTTAAATCACGACAGGGCTACGTTGCTTAGTAGGATCATATTGAACAATTTAATCATTGGGAATGTGCACCGCTCACAGTTTTCGTTCGACTCTGAGTGAGAGAGAGGATGATTCAGAGGCGCGGGAAATCACAGATCGCGGGGGAAGGCAGTCACGGCCTGGTGCCACAACAATTTCCCAAGCTCTACAGTCCTACATTGGGAAGTTTGGCCAACTCCATTCACGAGTGTTTTTACATGTGAGAGGAAACCGGAGGGCCTAAAAAAAACACACGTGGGCGGGCGGTGGTGGTGGGGGGGGGTTAAAACACTCAATCATCGTACAGATGGAATACAGATGGACATTAACACACTTGGCACACTGCCATGCTCTGGCAAGCCTGGAGATGGCGACCTGGACGCCTACGGGTAGGGATTGTATGTACAGCACGTTGAACTTCTTTCGCGCCGTACGTTGCCAACCGTGGTTATCGGAGGTGCGGGGGAAGGACAACAAACAAGTAAAAAGCGGTTCTACCAAATAAATTTGGCGAGGGAGTTTCGCGAGTGCGCGCGATCAACCAGCGCCGTTGATTGACGGTGATGTTCCGACGCGTCGTGCGGCCGGTGCGTCTGGTTGGCGCGGTCCTGGCGTGGTGGAGCCCCCCCCCCCCACCCGGCACTGCGTGATTGTCATTTCCTGCCAGGATGCAAGTGCTTGCCCCCGCATCACGGCCTCTTCTAGCGCGGGGCAGCCCTCAGCGAGTGGGAGCATGACATCCCTCTTCCTCAACACCACCAACACCAAGGCCATCAAGGTACCCCGCTGCCGCCCGGAGACTCGGCAACACCCCATGACTCTTGTTTTAGCGTTTCGACTAAGGACGGTGGAAGCATTTGTCCGTCATCTCTGTCCCGTCTGCCTGTTCGCGGCGGGGTAGGGGCATGATGGGGTGCCACGGTGGTGAGATGTTCACTACCTCGCCTGGTATACAGGAGGTCGCGGGTTCGATCTCGACCCTGACACCTGTATATTTGGAGTTTGCGTGTTAGAATCAACATGCCTTTTAGAGTATTTGGCGCACTATAAATGTCCACGTGATAATCCACTTCGTTGAGCTATAATTTTGTGGCCAGGATGCTTCTGAAATACATATTTTTTTTGTTTTCAATCCTGTAAAGATGTGAACCAATATGAACCCAAATTTAGTAAACATTTCCTGTTGCTGTTAGAAACTAACTCAATAAAAAAAACATTTAGGCATTAGCTCGATCTGTCCGTCCGTTTGTCCATCTCTGTCTGTCTATCTGTCCATCTGTGTGTCTATCCTGAACGGGAGGTGGGTGGTAAACACGTTTTCATTGAGCGATGTTATTATACTAGCTCAAGAAATGAGACGATGGGAGAGAATTCCAAAGTGGAGCAGCGCGTGGGAAGCAGGGAGAGAAGTGTTGTCGTGATCTACAGAGTGGCGGTTGCATACTTCATGGATGAGACGAAACAGTCGCGTCTTGTATCCTGAATCCTCAACATGGGTGGATAAATCAACGAGTGAAGTTCACGGGGAACAAAAGCCATGCTAGAAGGGAAACAAGCGGTGATAAGGGGGCGACTGACTGCCAGTGAGCAAGTGACTGGAGATTCAACATCCCACTGTTTCCAGATGTAATCAAACAACCAACTAACAACCCAAAGTGCTTGGGCCTGGAAAAAATAAATATATATTTAAGAATCCTCTCTGAACCCAGCTGGGCTCTGGCAATGAAGGCCACAGTAAAGAGAATCATGCATTAGATTTATGACCTATTACAATGTTAAAGAGATCTGATTTCTCACAACGCATTCACCACGTGCCCACTGCAGACTGTGCGGTGGGTTAGGGTCCAATTCCAGTCCACCCACCAGCGCCTGCCAGCAGCATCTGCTCTCGCTACAGGCGAGCTCTTCCTTAATCTTGACCCATCTTCATACGAAGACTCCCACAAGAGCTGTTTAACTGTCCGCCGCCTCCGGTAGCTGTTCATTTTGCATTATTTTCCCGTTTGATGTGACAGCCTAGCAGCTGCGTATGGTCTCGGATTAAGCGCGTAGACCAGCAGTCGGAGCGGCTCACTCCCCGAGTGTACAGTAATTGCTCTTGGGTCAGCAATACGATTTACGCAGCCGCCCACTGGCTGTTGTGGGTTTATTGCCAACGCCGTAGGGGGACATTAACCACACTGTGGCACCATTAGCAAGCGTGGGCCATCGCGCACAAATTGCCATCGTGACTAATCCCAAATTTTGACAGTTACTCAGTAACTCAGCGGTTTTTTTTCTGAGGAAGAGCTCTCACGTCTGTTATTCATAGGAGTGGAATGATACACCCCCACTTCCCCCCTCTCCATCACCTCATCTCCACCCACTTCGACCCAAGTGCATAATTTTCTGTGAATTGTTATCTTTGTTCAGTTTCTCAATTTACATTTTAGCCCCTCTCGTGGCTGCAGGGGTGATGCAAAACCCATTACACACAAACAAACTAAAGGTGCAGCCCCTGCAATAACTCTTTGCTTGCACGACTGCTGGTGGAAAGGGCCTCCAGTGGAGAGGAAGCTCTAGGGAGCCCATTTGCAATGTTTTTTTCTGTGCCAACTCTTCCTCGCTGGCCAGATGTTTTGTGACAGGTGGCAGTGCCCACACTTTACCCCGCCGCGTGCGACGTGCCGACTGAATGACTGTCATGTACCCACTTGTACTGCTGGGCAGACAAGAGGCGGGGTGGGGGGGGGGGGTGCGGGATTTAAGAAACTTGCACCGTTGTTTCAACTGCCGTGCCGGGATATCGAAGCAAAGGCCTTTGGATCACAAGTCCAGTGTTGAAACTATTACCCCTTTGGCATATATGAACCTTACTCCGTGGGGGTACCATAGTACCCCGGATCTCGCATCATGTCCGTGATGCAGTCATTTTGAGTCTGTTGATGGTCGGCGATGCGGCAATCGACTCGTCTCGACGAGCTGTACACGATGCACCACTGCGGTGTGTACGAGCGTTCAGGGTTTCAGCGCAATCGTCCTCGCTGCGTTTCGATATCGCGGAGTGTGGCACTGATTTCGGATTGATTGGTAACCCCAGTCGTGGAGTTAAGTAACACCCCTGGAAAAAATAGTGTCCCAGAAATAAAATATTTAATTGCCTCGGCCATTTTGTGTTATTTGGATTAATATCGAAAAATAAATATGGGTGGATAGATCATTATGCTTCTAATTATTTTTCAGGTTTCCCTTTAAAGAAATAGTTTCAGCTAAAAAGGAAGTCCTTTGAATGAATGGGCGTGCCTCTTTGCAGGACAAGAATGTGAAGCTTGTGTGCAAGATTGGTACGAAAATCATCGTAGATGCAGAATGGGTCAACGCAGACACCATCAAATGTTCTCCCGTAAAGGTGAGCCCAGTACGTCAGGTGTCCCCAGGTAAGGTTACAACGTCACTATAAATGTTGCCGTTAAGCCACCACCACCACCTGACACACCCGGTAAGATTTGTCACGTAAAACTATTTACAACTTCAGCACACCGGTGTGTTGGAGAGTAAACCCACAACATTTACAATTTCACTACCACGTTTCGCTGGTTGTAATTACAACCAGCTTTATCAGGCCATTTTGCCAGAATTGTGAAGAAGTCTTCTTGGTTCTGGTCTTAAAAAAAAAAATCAAGATGTCGTCGGGTGTGGAGACCAGAGGGGGGTTAATTATTATGAATAACATTGGTCGCGAAAACCTACGTGTTAAACTAAGATTAACCGTCGCGTGTCTTTACTCGCTGGGAACTGAGATGCAGGAGGATATGTGAAACAGTCGTAGACTGTACACGCGAACATCCGGAGGAAATGACAAAAGTGAAGCAAAAACCTGTTGAGACATGAAATGCTGTTTACCGTGCGTTAGACGTAAGTGAGCGTCCGCGAGATTAAGAACACGTGACTGAGTGGCTCTGAGCTTGGCTCCGCGCCTCTGACTTGCGGCCGTTACGTCCGCAAATTTGCGCGCGTTATAAATTGCATTATTATTATAATAAAATGGTTGGATTTGTGACCGTCTGCAGGAAATGACACCGTGCACAGACACTGATAATTAACATTTATAAAGCGCCCTTAAACGATCATTCTTAAGGGCGTTATGCATGGCAAGGCGGAAATAGTTTTAAAACAACCAAGGATAGACGGAAGTGAGAAAGACGTTTGAAAATAACTAGAGAGAGAGAAAGCCATCATAAACGTATACGTTTTTAGTCGGGATTTGAAGATTTGTGAAGTGTCTGCGAAGTCCCCTGACCTCGGAAGGGCAACGAGCTTCAGACTTCAGGTGCCACAATTGCGAAGGTGCCAAGACCGCGGTGACAGTGAGCGGACAACAATCTGAGGATCGTAATGACCTTGATGGAATATACGTGGCCGAAGGAGGTCATGCGAGGGGTAGCAAGTCCATTTAAGTCCTTGAACACCGGCAAGAGAATGTTAAAATCACTACGGCTACGGACAGGGAGCCGGTGAAGGGACAGGAGCACAGGTGTGATGTGATCCTTAAAAGGTGTAGCAGTTAGCACCCTGGCGGTCGCGTTTGAACGCACCGCAGCCTGTTTAGGAGTTTGCTCGGGGTTCCAAAAAGCAGTAGTCATTGCGGCAGAATAGAAAAGCGTTGATCGCTGTTTCAGTGTCTGCAGTGTTAAGGATGTGTTGGAGTCGGGATGTGTTTCTCAGGTGGAAAGAAAAGAGGTTCTTTAGGGTTCTGTTGACATGGGGCTGAAGGGATAAAGTTTGATCTAGAAGGACACCAAGATTGTTGATATCATGGTCTTGAGAGACGTTGCAACCATCAATAACCAGGTTAAGAGGGATTGAATTGGATAGCTGATGTGGGGGGGAGGGGGGAGGGGTACGGATTAAAATAAGCTGGGTATGGGCAGTTCATTGGTCTGGGCGGATAAGTGACGTTCAGATGTATACACAAGTGGTTCTTCGAATAATTAACAGCAAAATATCAGTTGGCACCGATAGGTATGCATTGCCTGGACGTCAGAGAGCTGTTGATGGTACGCGGGGTCTTCATTCTTACGTGTGAATTGTGACCGTGAAGTTCTCTTGGCTGTGTTGCAGCTGACAACCAACATGATATCGGAAATATTTCCGGTGAATTTGGCTTGGAAGAGCAACGGTGCTTCAGTTGACAACCCAGAAAACATAAAAGGTTTGCTTCGGTACACCGACATTAACAAAAAACAAAAACACTCAAGCGTGATTCTCGGCAGCGTCAACAGCAGCAAAATCCGCACCATTCTTACCATCAGCATCATCATCAGCACCAGTAGCCGTATCATCATTGTCACCATTATCAAATTTATCATCATCTTTGCCTTCAATGTTATTGCCATCATCATCATGATGGCTATTTTCATCACCACAATCAGCAGCTGTATTTTTACCACAGTCAACAGCCACATTATCTTCATTAGCAGCAGTAGTGGCTTAATTGTCATGAAACCCACTAAATCAAATGTTCACGTGGTGTACAAGAGTTTAACGTGGCAATTGTTATTGTTCGAGCTCACCGCCAAGTTGGAGATCAATTCTCACAACCGAATTTAGCAATAATATAACGCGACGTTTTCGCTTGAAACTGCGCCAAGTATCTTCTTGGTACTTAAAGCGACGGGTTTAAATGACTAAATGACACTGTAGGATTTACCATAGTGCTACAATCTTGCATTGAAACTATACGTATGCACATTTGGGGGACCCTCAAAATCCAAGGCCCCAACGGGCCGTGGCACCCAAAGCGCTTGCGCTGATCAGGCCCTGGGTCACGACGTTCACTGTGAGTGTTGAGTGAGCCCTGCTCTCTCACTCTTTCCTTTCCTCTCCCTCCCTCCCTCTCTCTCTGTCCCCGTTTGCCCCGCTGTGGCCCGGCCGCTACCACAGTGGAGGTTTACACATGCGGTGGAGCGACCGTGGACTGTGGCCAATGCTCGGCCATGCGCCACCGGCAGCTGCGGTGCGAGTGGTGCGCGACGGACGACGACGCCGTCCCCAGCTGCAGGCTCAACACCACGTGCCGGCAGCCGATCGGAGAGTGCCCGGCGCCGGTCGTGACACAGGTGAGACTCGCGGTCACGACGAGTACCGGACCTTGCTTTGTTGGGAGTCGGAGGGCAAACAAAAAGTCTGGGGGACTTCAGCGATATAATTAAGATGGGGGTCCATGTTTTTTAGATATATAAAAAACATTCATAATATTTACATGTAAAGTATAACTGCCTCTACAAATCGATGGGCACCCCCAGTGACAGCTGTCCACGTGTGGCACAATGCGACACATTGCCTGCAAGTCGGCATTGGTCTGCCGGTGACGGGGCGACGATGCTGCTGTGCGTGTAATCCCCACTGAGCAATTTGCAGTTTAAGTATTTCGGATTTGGCAATTTTTTTACCATCACACCCGCGCACGCAATGTCCTGCTCACCTCGAATGACTTCACGCGACCTTTAACGTTCACTGTGAATCAGTCGGCGCGTACTATGCAATGGTTAACACACGCCGCAGTGATGACCAGGGTGCCCTGCCAGATTCGAACTTAGAACCTCTGTAACAAGCGGCAAACGCGCTATCGCTGGGTTACGTCTCCTCACCCATGTAATGTCCTCTCTTCTTCATCATTCTTCTGCTGCTTCTTCTGAGCGGAGACAGAGAGAGCGCGAAGGAATTGACTCATTGTTAGTTGGAAATTACGCGCTACGCTGGAAGGGCCGTGAGAAAACCGGGGTAGTTGTAAGGAAGTTGACAAATGAAGGGTTTTTAACTGACACTTGTGAGATGTATTATTTTGTAGACATTGCGTCATTAATGAAAATAAAATTATTGATGATATACAGCACTGTATGTTTATCCACTGCTGGATGGCGGCCACCCCAAGCTGTGTACTTCGCCATGCTGCTCAGCGTGGGGTTGGTGAAATTATTATTTTTAATGAAAACGTAGCTTTTCTGCAATGATGTGAGAGTCGTGAGTTTTTTTTCTTTCGATTTTGTTCTCGAACCGAAAACTATTGGTCAAGTTTTGATGTACGCTGTCGGACACACGCAACGCCATGAGAGATTTGGGAACAAAAATAACTGCCGTGAATTGAAATTTGGCATTTTTTTTGTATTTGGCCATACTTCACCGTGCCGGTCAGTTTGGGTTGACGAAAGGGTGAGGGAAGGCGCGGTGGAGGGAGCAGGATTGTTCCAACTAACACTCACCACAGTTGAACGCAAGAGCAGGAACGGAACTCGGATGACTAGTTTGCAGTACAGTGTTCTAACCACAGCACCACCCATAACAGGAAGGCAGATTTATAACGTTTAATCTGATCAACTGTAGTGGCAAGTGCAGTTAGTGATCACCTGCTCAGGAAAGTATGTTATGATGCAGAGATGCATACGAAAGCATTTACAAATACAAAGATTCCCCATGTAGCCTGAACGGACTGTTGGGGCCAGTGCTGTTTGCGAGCACCTATGAAGGCCGGCACAGTAAGCATGGCGGTGGGTGGCCAGCACCACGCCCGGCCGCCTTTGTCTCCCTAGTGGCGATGTTTACACACCGCACCAGGTACTCATTTGAGGCTGAGTCGACCTAAGGGAGGCCCAGGACCGGAACAGATAATCGTCACCGGTGTTGGCCGTGAGCGGGAATGGAACCCCGGTTGCTTGGTTCGTAGTGCAGCGCGCTAACCGCTGCACTACCGCTCCCCACACACGTGCACACACACACACACGCACGTGCACACACACACGCACGCACGTGCACACACACACACGCGTGCACACAAACACACACACGCTCCGTCGTGAGGCTGCGCGAGGGGGAGTGACCGCCGCCGAGCGTGCCCATCGCAGTGGGTGGCCTCTCACCTCGTTAACCCTGCAGCAGCGCCACTGAGCTCATGCCTTGTTTACTTACTTCGTTGGCCCGTTGTTTGTTTAGATTTCTCCCCAGAGTGGTCCACTCCAGGGAGGCACTCGCGTCACCATCACGGGCAGTAATATGGGCGGCCGGTTTGAGGACATTGAGCAAGGGCTCTTTTTCGGAGCAGCCCGGTGCAGCCCGCTGAAGGAGTTATACGAAGTGTCCAAGCGGTACGTCGCTCTATGCATGCGCCGTGGTAGGCGAGATGTTAACTACCTCGCCTGGTGTACAGGAGGTCGTGGGTTCGGTCCCGACCCCGATGCCTGCTGCTGCTCTATATTTGGAGGTTGCATGTTTCTCCCCCATGGGTTTTTCTCCGGGTCCTCCGGCTTTAAACCCCTCCACGTTTAGAATCGACATGCGTTTCAAGAGTGTTTGGCTGCGAGGAATGTCCACGTGATAAGCCGCTTCGTTGGGCTGTCATTGGTGGCCAGGTTGCTTCTGAAAAAGAGCTTTATAATTCTAGATTTGAAGCTTTCGTGACTGCAAGGATTCATACTTCAGCTGATACAGCTATTCTGCTGTGACTGTTTCCACCTGAAGACGGAAGCTTGTGTTGCCTCCGAAGCGTCGTGATTTGAATTTAGTTGTTTTCATTTTAAGTCACCTCTGTGACTTTACCGAAAAACCAAAGAGTAAGAGCTTTATAGCTCCGTGGGGCTTACCTGTAAAATAGTATATATATTTAAAACAATATCCCTGGTGCAGCCTTTAACAGACTGTTGGGGCAAGCGCTGTTTGCGAGCACCTTTTGAGAATGTCACGGTACATGTGTTGGGGTGGGTGGCCAGCACCAAGCCTGGCCCGCCTTTTCTTCATACATTACCACCCCCCCCCCCGCCCGCACCAGGTACTCATTTAATGCTGAGTCGACCTAGGGGGACATCTAACGTAAAAATAAATGCCACGTTCCTTTTTTTCGACAGCATCGTGTGCGTCACGAGTCGCAGCAATGTCACCGGGAGCCAGGTGCATGTGAACGTGAATGGGAGAGTGTCGGAGTCCACCGTCACTTACACATACGCGGTGAGTTCCAGATGGTAGCCCTGCCTATCGGATGCCTCTTTAGCTCGACACAAGCTTCGTATAGTATACATATACGTAGAACAAAAACAAAAACTCAACACATTCGTCGATGACACTGTGTGGGGGAGCGGTAGTGTGGCGATTAGCGCGCCGCACTACGAACCTGGTGACCCAAGTTCGATTCCCGCTCAACCCCATTGACGATTATCTGAACCGGTCCTGGGCCTCCCCTAGGTTGACTCAGCCTCAAACTAGTACCTGGTGTGGTGTGTAAATATCACCACTAGGGAGACAAAGGCGGCCGGGGGTGGTGCTGGCCACCCACCTCCTCGTGTGCCGTGCCGGTCTTCATAGGTGCTCGCTAACAGCACTTGCCCCAACAGTCTGTTAAGGCTACACGGGGGATCTTTGTATTTGTTTTCGCCTTAAAAGGAAAAATATATCAGAGTCTACATACATTTCGGGCAATGGTCCTCCACAGCACTGAAGGGCCATTGCCTGAATCACCGCTGATGACAGAGCGTTCCTTTTAAAGCAACGGTGTTATTTTTGACGAATGTGTGCAGTTTTGTTTTGGTTGCTTGTGAGCGTGCAACCCTGCCAATGCAGTGTCGCCGGACAATGTATTTACAGAGTTAATACAACAACAAAAAGACTCGCCGCATTTGACTTTGCCTTTTAACGTAAAAACATTTAGTCGGGGTGGAATTTTCACTCATGGCCTTTCTTGAGAGCACACAGAGAGGACCGAGCTATTGATTGACTTGGAGTTGGTTATGAGACTTTATATTTGGAAATTAGTTTCCGAAAACTCGTGTCATTTTTGACTTAAAGAGTTGTTGAGTAAGAGGTCATTCTAAAAAAAAAATATCCTGAAGCAAAACATTAAAGCTGGACACAGCAACATTTGCCAATGCGAATTGTAACTTTGATCCTTTACGGTATATCGATGGTTCACTGTAAATGTGATATTTTATCGAGGGACCGCTATTGCTGTGTGTTGTCTTGGGACTGTTTCATTGTTATTTTTTATGCCTTGCTCAAGGTTGATAAAGCAGACTTTAATAATTAAATAAATCTCTCTCTTTTTTTTTTAGTGACCTGCTCACCTTTTTGTCTATTTTGCACTCCTATCACTTTTTGTTTTGTTGTTGCAACTTGCTGACCCGCCGATACGGGACACGTGTTGACAAAGAGCTTCAGAGCTTATGGGATTCCTCCTGCAGTCTATAATTAAGATTCTGGAAGATCATGATTATTGAGCCATATGTGTAGCGACTTGCTGGGACTCGGAGACGATGTAGAGGCGACACCGTTTATTAACTCTTAAACCCCCGTTACAGCTTCGCACCCGTTGAGGTAACGGCCTCTCTACCCACTGCTCTCAGGGGAGGTATTCCCCAGCTAAACTTCGCCTGCTCCCTAGCTATACCTCGGCCCTCCTCTAAGGGAGGCTAGCTGACGTGGCCCAGCCAAGGCGCAGGTCTCGGCCACCAGCCACACGGACCCGGCCCTTAGAAGGACGTCGGGCTCCGAGGCTCTGGGGTCGTACCACTGGCTTGCTCTGCCCGGCCCTTACAAGGGCAGCGGGTCAGAGGAGTCCCAGGGTGTATAGCTAGCTGGACTTCGATCTTCAACTGGTTCTTCTGGCTTCGTCTTTTATCTAATTCCCTACCGAGGGGCAGGGTTCTGTGGGATCCCAGTACACCCCTCAGCCCCCACCCGTTGGGAGGGGCGCGAGGGATCCAAACATCCCCCAGCCCCCTCCCCCTCCCCGGAGGCGCCGGCTAGGGATATGATGATCGCCCCGTATGTCTCAATAGCACCGTTACATATGTACCATGCGACTTTTAAATTGGGTAAGAAAACATTTCCCTACCACGATAATCTCACGACCTTCCCAACTCTCTCGCCATTCCACACCGTTTTATTGGTGTTGTATATGGACGTTTGTATGTTGAACTTCTTTCGCGCCGTATGTGCTAATCGGAGGTGCGTATATACATCCAAGTAAAACAAAAAATGGCCAAATGGAGACTTTGGGGGAACTTGAACCTTAACATTTCTCGGCATTTTTCAAACACTAAACTGGAAACCTTGAGCACCGGTCTGCGGCACTCGAAGAAATGAACTTAGAAACAAAAACTCACTTGACGTGTCTCTTTTTTCCACGCGGCCATGTGCAGCCGGAATGAGACCCAAGAATTTACTTTCAGGTTCCTGAAACAACTAAAATACAACCACAAAACATAGCCCAACGACTCTCCCACTCACAGGACCCCAAGGTGGACAAAGTGGAGCCCCTGAAGGGGATCAAGGCTGGTGGCACGGTGGTCACCATCAGAGGGAGGGACCTGGACGTTGGCTCCCACCTTGATGTCCGACTTGATGCAAACAAATCCTGCACGATACTCAAGTGAGGACGCCCGAGTTGATGCTGCGCCGCCCATCTGCACAAGGGCGCCACAGTGGCGAGATGTTAACTACCTCGCCTGGTATACAGGAGGTCGTGGGTTCAATCCCGACCCTGACGCCTGTGTATTTGGAGTTTGCGTGTTCTCTCTCCCCGTGGCCACGTGGATTTTTTTCCAGGTCCTCCGGTTTTTCCCTCCACATTTAGAAACACGCGTTTAAAATATTTGGCTGCAACAAATTTCGACGTGATAAGCCAGTAAGTTGAGCTATCAATTGTGGCCAGGTCGCTTTTGAAAAAGAGCTATATAGCTCAGTGGGCCTTACCTGGTAAAATAAAAATAATTTAGTTTAGTTTCACTTGGGCTGTGCCGAGGTCTCCCACTCGGTTTAATTTTGCCACTGACCAACTCCAAGACTGGCTTATCGGCCAACTGCCTGGTAGGCCAGTGGCCAAATTGAACCGTGTAGGAGACCTCGGTACAGCCCAAGTGCAGCGTTCTGGTTCACTTATTAAAACTAAAACTCTTTTTATTTTACCAGATGAGGCCCACTGAGCTATATAGCTCTTTTTTCAGAGGTGACCTGGCTATGAAAAAATAAAACACTCTAAACACACATTGATTCTAATTGTGGAGGGAAAACTGAAGGACTCGGATAAAAATCCACGCGACCTCCTTGTATACCGGGCGCGGTAGTTAACATCTCGACACTGTGGCGCCCAACGTGCACATGGTGATCATCGCCCCCCTACTGGAAGACATGTCCCATGTCACTTTTGAAAATTCAACTTATGCTGGTATTTTGAGTTTATCAAGTTGTGAAAACGAAATAAACTTGGGACTTGTTTCGCTAAACAAAAGTATGTCGCTTCCCAGCAAAATCAGCACGGTGATCAAGTGCAAGATGCCGGAATGGGACAGCGTAGGTGAGACCAACATCTGCCTGCACTGTGACGACAGCAAGCAGTGCCTCTTGGAAAAGACGGATAAATTCAAAATCATCGACAACCCCACGGTGGTGAAGCTGCACCCGTACAAGAGCCACGAAGGGTGAGTGTGCTCACAAGCAACATCAACAGCAATAACAGCAGCAGCAACAATGACGTACTCCAAGTGCACGTTCCCAGGTTGGGCTCCGTGCCGAGCGTTTCTTCTTTTGAGCTTCTGCCACGCACTCCTGCGGACATCTTCAGTTAAATTTCGATTTAAAGCTTTCGTGACTGCAGGGATTCATCTTCTTGGTTCTTTCGTTAAAGTCACGTAGAATGGAAATAAAATAATACAAATAAAACACAATAAAATGAAATAAATTTTATTTTAAAACATAAAATAGGAATTAAACATAAGAAAACATAATAAAATAAAATAATACATTTTATTTTGTTATGTTTTATTTTTATTATTTTTATTCCATTCTACATGACTTTACCGAAAGAACCAAGAAGATCTTCAATTAAACTCTCGAAGCTGCCGACAGTTATGAATGGCGAGGGCACATGAGAGAGGAAACGCTCGATGCGCAGCCCAGCCCAGCCCAGAAAACAAACGCTTGGGTTAGAAGTGACCGCAAGGCCTCACACGTTAAATAAACAACTCACGTGTGTAACGCGCCCGGAACGTACTGGTCATCTCCGATGGTTAGGATTACATATGGAGAATAGCGAACGGGAGCTGAGCAAGGGCAGGAGAGAAAGGAAGCAGTTAAGGGAGTCCGAAGGCACGCCGCTGAACAGGAAGGTTTTAAGCAGAGACTTGAAGCAAAGAGAGGGAGGAGGCCAAACGGAGGTCCCTGTGGAGGGAGGTCCAAAGGGTGGAGGCTCCGTGGTTAAAAAATTTCAGCCACCAATGTGCCACAACACGCACCGCGTGCTCGCAATGTCTTTATGATTATTGCTCCTCTCATTATGGATGAATAGGAGATCTACCGTGGCTATGTTGATGCCTAAACTGTCTCCGAGAGCTCCGCGCATACATAGGTGTATGTGTAGGTGGGAGCATCTCCTGTGCGCTGTGACATCATAGTGCCCTATTTGCCGTTGGCTCTTTGGCGACGGACGCAGCTTCACGATGTGGATTTATCGTGCAGTTGTCATTTACAAAGTTGTTGGCGTGCATTTAATCTTTCGTTTCACTTTCGCGCTTTAGGGGAGGACGACAAATCCAGGTCTCCTTGACGGGCGAAGTCGTGGCGCAGAAAGTGGCTATGAGCATTCACCTGGACAGCACGGAAGTGAGCGTGAGTATCCACACAACGGAGCGCGGTATATCCCACTCACACACAGCACAGTCTATCCCACTCACACACAGCACAGTCTATCCCACTCACACACAGTGCGGTCTATCCCACTCACACACAGTGCGGTCTATCCCACTCACACACAGCACAGTCTATCCCACTAACACACGGTGCGGTCTATCCCACTAACACACAGTGCGGTCTATCCCACTAACACACAGCACAGTCTATCCCACTAACACACAGTGCGGTCTATCCCACTAACACACAGTGCGGTCTATCCCACTAACACACAGTGCGGTCTATCCCACTCACACACAGCACAGTCTATCCCACTCACACACAGCACAGTCTATCCCACTAACACACAGTGCGGTCTATCCCACTCACACACAGCACAGTCTATCCCACTAACACACGGTGCGGTCTATCCCACTCACACACAGCACAGTCTATCCCACTAACACACAGCACAGTCTATCCCACTCACACACAGCACAGTCTATCCCACTCACACACAGCACAGTCTATCCCACTAACACACAGTGCGGTCTATCCCACTAACACACAGCACAGTCTATCCCACTAACACACAGCACAGTCTATTCCACTCACACACAGCACAGTCTATCCCACTAACACACAGTGCGGTCTATCCCACTAACACACGGTGCGGTCTATCCCACTCACACACAGCACAGTCTATCCCACTCACACACAGCACAGTCTATCCCACTCACACATGGTGCGGTCTATCCCACTCACACACAGCACAGTCTATCCCACTAACACACAGCACAGTCTATCCCACTAACACACAGTGCGGTCTATCCCACTAACACACAGCACAGTCTATCCCACTAACACACGGTGCGGTCTATCCCACTAACACACAGCACAGTCTATCCCACTCACACACAGCACAGTCTATCCCACTAACACACAGTGCGGTCTATCCCACTAACACACAGCACAGTCTATCCCACTAACACACGGTGCGGTCTATCCCACTAACACACAGCACAGTCTATCCCACTAACACACAGCACAGTCTATCCCACTAACACACAGCACAGTCTATCCCACTAACACACGGTGCGGTCTATCCCACTAACACACAGCACAGTCTATCCCACTAACACACAGCACAGTCTATCCCACTAACACACAGCACAGTCTATCCCACTAACACACAGCACAGTCTATCCCACTAACACACGGTGCGGTCTATCCCACTAACACACAGTGCGGTCTATCCCACTAACACACAGTGCGGTCTATCCCACTAACACACAGCACAGTCTATCCCACTAACACACAGCACAGTCTATCCCACTCACACACAGCACAGTCTATCCCATTAACACACAGTGCGGTCTATCCCACTAACACACAGCACAGTCTATCCCACTAACACACAGTGCGGTCTATCCCACTAACACACGGTGCGGTCTATCCCACTCAAAGCGCAATCCGCCTTAGGAGGGTTTTCACAATGAACTATCCTGTGCTGGACAGAAAAGCAATCACGTTTGTAGTGTCTCCTTTCTTTAAGATTGTCACGATCGTGGCATCCCTGAGGTCATCTGAGCAATATCATCCCAACGCGTCTCACCTGTACAGCAATGCCCTCTGCCCTGTCTGTACAGTAACGCACGTGGCTTCTATGGAGGAGGTGTGCATCTCCGGTTTGATGTCATTAGACGAAGTCTCCATTCGGAACTCTCGCAGTTGGGATGGCAGTGAACTCTTCCCTGTATACATACTATAATCCCAAACTCACCGAGATTTCAACCTTCACGGGTCACTGAATTCAGGGGAGGCCACGGTGGTGAGATGTATACTACCTCACCTAGTATACAGGAGTTCGATCTCGACCCTGACGCCCGTCTCCCCGTGGTGCGTTTCACAGTATTTGGCTGCTATAAATAGCCACATGATGACAAGCCACTTCTTTGAAACCATAATTTGCGGCGAGGTCGCTTCTGAAAGAGAGCTATATAGGTCAGTGGGCCTCACCTGCTAAACAATACAATTATTTAATAGTTTAGTTCTCCCTCCGTACATCTTGAACGGCCCCTCGTGCCCCCCCGCCCCCACCGCCCCCCCCCCCCGGCTTCTGCTCCGCTTCCTGTCTGCAGAAATGCAAAATCTCGTCGTCGTCGAAAGAGCCGATGATCGAGTGCCCATCCCCGCGGCTCAACAGGACGACGGGCAGGCGTCTGCCGGTCAAAGCGCAGTTCCATTTCGACAACCACATCAGCATACAGGACTTTGACTACTACGAAAACCCACGGTTTGAGTTGATCAACAAGCCGACGCTGCAGAAGAAGGAGCTAATCCAGCTGACGTTCAAGGTGAGGCAACGCTCCGCCGGGGATGAGCGTCCACTCTGTGGGGAAGTTCATCGGTGGTAGTCCTATGGATATACTCGCCCCCCGCCATATGAATGTGGAATTTCCACTACCGGCTCAGGGCTGTGCACGGGAGATGAGTACCGCCTCAATGTTAATTTGAGCAGAACATTCCCATTGACTGTGGCTTGAAGTGAGCGCAGCGTTGAATCCATTCAGTGGGAATTACAATGCAAGACACTTTTTACAATATCGATTGGATTCATAGAGTATCGAAGCAACATATCTTATGAAAGCATATTGCCGTTCCTGCTATGATACACGGTTTACAAAATACAGATGTTGATGAATGAAAATGTAGCAAACGAATGAAGCATGTAGAGGTGTAATTACGCTGAAAGAGGAATACTGTGTTAGAAAACGCACACGATTTAGCGACGTCACATCAGATGAGTGCCCCGGTGACGAGATGTTAACTACTTCGCCTGGTTTGCAGGAGGTCGTCAGTTTGATTCCGACCCTGAAGCAGGTATATTTAGAGTTTGCATGTTCTCCCCGTGGTCATGCGGATTTTTCTCCGGGTGTTACGGTTTTTCCCTCCCAACAGTTATAAACACGCGTTGAGAGTATTTGGCCGCTATAAGTTTCCACGCGATGAGCCACTTCGTTGAGGCAGGATTTGTGGCCAGGTCACTTCTTAAAAAGAGCTGCATAGCTCAGTGAGCTTTACCTGGTCAAATATAAACGGTCGAGTTTTACAATAGTGTTTAGTTTGCAAGGGAGATGTGTGGTGCATCAGCACAGTTAGAGGGGCATTTTTTGGAATGGTCGCCTTCATCCAGCAGTGGATTGATCATTGCTGGCGATAATGATGATAGCATCTAAATGCAACTGATTTTGACTCCGAATAACTCCTGGTATTGCGTCCAATGTGGGATGTGATGGCAAGGAATCTGGTGCTCAGCTATCCTCCCAAACGGAGAACACCATCCCATAACATATACATTATCCATTGCAGGTCCCTTCTTTATAGAGGCTCGGTGGGCCTTTCCTGAATAAATAAATCATGTTATTATTATGAACCCCATGATTATGTGTTTTGTTTTCTCTCTCCGTTCTGATGCATTGTTAAATAATGACTCCAAAATCACGTTGTTGAGCACATTTGTGTGAGAACAAAAACACGCAATAATCCATTGCATGTGCGCATATGTGTGTGTGCTGCTGTTTAGTTCGAATACAATCGAATAACAGCATTTTTATTAGAGAGTGGGAAGGAGACACGGCGTCTGTGACAGCCCATTGTGTGCTGCGTATTAAAAACACATCACAGATGTGCCTCTGGTGCCCTGTTGCACTGTTCGTGCGCCACGCAAAACTACTTACTGCAAACAATGTAGCTATTATATTTAGAAACACAGCGCGGCATTGTATTGTAAAATGAAATCCACCAATCTGAAGGAAAAAAAAAGCTTACGATGTTGTCCACGCGCCACTCAGAGAAGTTGCGCGTTGAGAATTGTTGTTTATTTATTTAATTCTGCATCCTCCCGCCCACCCCCTCGCCTATAAAGAATTTCTCTTCAAACTTGGACCTCGCGTTGTCCGAGATCTACATCTTTGTCGGCCACGTGCCTTGCCTGAGCCTTCAATTCTTGGACAACAAAGACAGATTCACCTGCTCCGTCAACCTCTCCACCGTGGAGGACTCGTCTCTGCCGGTGACAGTAAGTGCAGCCTCCTTTTTGAAAGAAAAAAAAAAGTTTCTTCACTGCCTCGCGGTCGTGGTACAGTGTTGTCGCTGGGAAGAATCTTGACATCGTAGTCCAAATATGTCAAAGTCACGTCTTGTTTTTCAAATGAACTTTAAGGCAGTGCTCATCTCCTGTTTGCGGTCCTGAGCCACTTTCAGTCCCAAGCCAATGGTGGAAATTCCACGTCCTTATAACGGGGTTGAGTCTATCCATCGGATAACCACTGTTTACATTGCCCACAAAATGGCAGCCGAGTCAATCCCCAACCAGGAATTGAACTTGTGTTATTTTGATTGCGAGCCTCTTGCTCTACCACTGGGCCAACGGGCAAGGTTAACATCATAGTAATTGTACCTGATATGAGTAGTGCCTGATAACCAGGAGAGCCTCACTGAGTCTCGAGACTCTTTTTCAGGAGGGTCCTGCTTTTGGGTTATTGGCCAATATTTGGCTTCTTGTGGGAAGAAACTGGAGTACCCAGAGAAAATCCACACATAGCAGGAGATAGCACTGAAAGCTCCACACAGATAGCTTCAAGAATCCGTTTGCTGTAGTGCCTTCTGGCCATTTCGCAGCCCTAGCCAACAGCGCAGAGCGCTCCCTGGAAATCTTCCATCCACTTACGAACCCGGCCCTAAATCGTAACAACTGACAAGATCTAAAATTTTGATTTAAAGCTTTCGTGACTGCAGATATTCATATTATTGGTTCTTTCGGTAAAGTCAATAAAATAATAAAAATATAAAACAATACAATTCTCATGACGTTTCGACTGCAACACAAGCAATCATCATCAGGTGTGAAAACCACAGCAAGAAAATTTGAAAAAAGTGGCGGGTTTTTTTTCAAATAAAAAAAGTGGCGTTTTTTCTTTAAACCGCCACTTTTTCAAATTGTCTTGCTGTGGTTTTCACACCTGATGATGATTGCTTGTGTTGCAGTCGAAACGTCGTGAGAATTTTATTGTTTCATATTTTTATTATTTTATTGTTTCCCTTCTATGTGACTTTACCGAAAGAACCAAGAATATGACAAGATCTCGTCACATTCTGGGTATATTTGGCATTCGGGCCTGTCTGAGGCTCATTGGAGTCAAGCGAAAGCATCCAGATGTAGAAGGTAGAACTTGGGAAACTGGAGGATTGCACAGCGCAGCATCCGAGCCACTGAGAGATCCTATCGGCTCGTTTGCTAATCCCACTGGCCGCATGAGATTACTGCAACCACCAAACCCACTTCCTGAGCCAACTCGTGGCTCTCTGCTTTGGATTTACACGAGCAAGTATTTCTCGACAAAAGGCGTATACAATATATATTCACATATACAAAGGTAAAGGTGCAGCACTGCAATTGCTTGCGCATTCCACTGCTGGCAGAACGTCATTCACGAGAGCAGGGCTGGCCAACCTGCAATGGACCAAGAGCCAAAAGGTTATCCATGAGTTCTGCAAAGAGCCAAGTGTATATATCTTGACAGTTTTCGGCACAACACGGGAGACATTCATTATCCGCTGCCCCTGTGATGGTACTACGTTATGCCCCTTCGATAGAGCCGTGTGCGGTGGATTTAAAGAGGTGCACGCGGCTCGGGACCCACCAGTTGGCCGCCGCTGCGCGCGATGGAGCTCCCGAGAGCCCCGCCACTTGAGCTTTCTCGAGGGGGTTATTTCGGCCAACTTTTCCACGCTCGGCAAATATCTTTGAGAGTACACAAACTTTACCGCAAAACGGACGACCTGCCCATCGACTACTTGTGCTGTACCCACGGTTACTGCTGGGTGGACAGAGGCAGCAATCGAGGCCGGGGGGGTGGGGGGGGGTGGTGGCAATAAAAACAAATAAAATAAAATTGTATCTCATTAGATATGGCCCCACTGAGATACGCAGCTCTTTTTCAGAAACGACCTGGCCACAAACGATAGCTCAACGAGGTGGCTTGTCATCACGTGGAAATGTATAGCAGCCAAATACTCTGAACGCGTGTTTCTAAATGCGGAGGGATAAAACCGGAGGACCCGGAAAATAGGCCACGGCGTTACGGGGGAGAGGGACACACAAACTCCAAATATAGAGCAGGCGTCAGGGTCGGAATCGAACCCACGACCTCCTGCATACCAGGCGATGGAGTTGACACCTTGCCCCATTGTTTCCACTGTCATGCCCAGGAGATTGCAAGTCCAGTTTGCTAACCATCACACCATGGCAACATTCCAGTGTTAGAATGCATCTGTCAAATTTATCTTAAGTTTCCTCATTGCACAAATTGTACTTTAGTTCATTGTGCTCAAATTACCCTTAATTCATGGTGTTACTATCGAATCTGGTGTGCTAACCATTACTGCATTGCAAATATATTGGAACGTGTGTTCCCTCAAATGTAATTATACAACCACCGCATAAATGCACGGTAAATGCCGCAGAAGTATTCTTAGTGCATATTATTTTACGGAAAGGTGAAAAATAATGAAACATGGTGCTTCGAGCACATGCAGGAGAGGCTGTTGCATCACAAACTCGACCACAGACTACTTATCTCTTTTGATTTAAAGCTTTCGTGACTGCAGGGATTCATATGATTGGTTCTTTCGGTAAAGTCACGTAGAAGGGAAACGAAATAATATTTTTATTATTTTATTGTTTCCCTCCTCCTCCCTTGCATGCATCACGTGTTTTTTTTTGCCGCTCAACCACAGCCTGCGGCACGTTCTGCCAAGCGAGCAACAGCAGAATATGTCAGTTCTACATACAGGTCGATACATTTATAGATACCCCACGAAGTTTAAAGAGGGGGGGGGGGGGGTAGGGGAATTATAGAAGACACTATAAATTCATTCAAAGCCTCCGTTACGTCACCTCCCACCCATCTCAACGTGCTCGTTAAATCCGCAGCCGCTCTCCTCCGCCATGCGTGGCAGCCGTCGCTCTTCACGGCGTTCAATCGGCTGTTGTGAAGAGAGACAGAGGGAGTTTGAGAAATCAGCGGGGTGTCTGTAAATGGATCGCCCCGATGAATAAGAAACACGCCGTTGTACACTTGTGACCTTGGTTTAAGTAAGATTTGATTTAGATGATCGGCATTTACTGCTGTAAAGCTGCTCGCATTAGTGAATTCAAAACTGGTCACCTTTCGTCAGTTGCCTTCGGGATTCCCAGTGTTCTCAGTACGCCCCCCCCCCTCCCACCGGTAGAGTCAGTGCACCATTTAGAATCAGCGTGACGAGCGTCGAGCATTTGGCTGCTATAAACGTCCACGTGATGACAGGCCACTTCGGTGAGCCATCATTTGTGGCCAGGTCGCTTCTGAAAAAGAGCTGCATTGGCCAATGGGACTTACACGTGGTAACAGAAAAACGGTTTTGTTTAGTTTTTATCTCCCGTCTCGAGATGGGGCATCAGCCGGTTATTTATCTTTAGATTTGCGATGCGCTGAGCGGTGGGAAAAAGCCAAAACGGCGCGTGGATTGGAGGACACGGGCAGGTTGAAGATGTCATACATTGACCGTTGATAAAAACACAACTTGCCGTGAGCATGAGACACGCCGCTCCCGAACAAGAAAACCACGGGGGCGGTGGGCGTGAACAATGACGGAGCAGCAGCGCACGGAATGAGCACTCCCGAGAGCATGTCCTCCATCGCTGCTCGACGTGGCCACACGTCGCGAGACTGTCGGGAGATGGAGCCGTGGATAGATCGCGGTAGATGATGATGGGACACTTTACAGTTCGGTCAGAGGTAATTAACATCTCCCGCGTATATTTTTTTTTTGCGAAGCAAAGAGGCAAGGATTTTGCCGCTGGTTCTAATAAAAGGATGCGTTCATTGATTTACGATAATATCCATATTGTGGAGTGATAACAAACACATGTGAAGTAATTGCTTCCTCCTTAAGCTGGATTCAGTTCACTAAAAAACATCGGATGCCACGTTTTCTTGTTTCCTTTGAAGGCATCGCTCTCACTGAGCTATGTAAGCAGCCCTTCCATTACAATTGGCACTGTTGTGAGACCCCGGACACATGTGAGTGAGGAGAGACGACAACAACACAGCATTCGTCATGGAATGCCTTTGACCGCATTTGTCATGGATTCTCTTTTGTGTTTTACCGTCACATCCCTTACACTGAAGGAACGTCCTTGGAAAGCGAAATACATTCCAGTGACTTATTCCAACGATTCGCTCATAATGCCGAATCGTTTGGCCAGGAAAGAATCGATGATCAGAATTTGTTTCAGTTTTGGCCCTGCTGCATTGGGATGTTTGGCCTATTCCAATGATGATTGTTTGACCCATGTAGGCGTCACGGTGGCTAGGAGATGTTAACTACCTCGCCTGGTATACAGGGGGTCACGGGTTTAATCCCGACCCTGACGCCTGCTGCTGTATATTTGGAGTTTGCGTGTCTCTCTCTCATCATCATCACGGTGGCTATGAGATGTTAACTACCTCGCCTCGTATACAGGAGGTCGTGGGTTTAATCCCGACCCTGACGCCTGCTGCTGTATATTTGGAGTTTGCGTGCCTCTCGCCCCGTGGTCGCGTGTATTTTTCTCCGGGTCCTCCGGTTTTCTTTCTCCACATTTAGAATTAACATCACGCGTTTAGAGTATTTGTCTGCTATACATTTCCACACGACAAGCCACTTCGTTGAGCTGTCATTTGTGGCCAGGTCGCTTCCGAAAAAGAGCTACATAGCTCAGTGGACCTTAGCTGGGAAAATAAAATAAAAGTTTAATATTTAATGCTACTGCTACTCCCTGCCCCCCAGCTACAACCAGGGCTACCACATCCCTTTCTTAACCACTTGCACCTGTTTTCCTGTCAACATAACTACGCCACCACCACTTTTAATGATAGACTCACTCTTTATCTCAAGCACTGTCATCTTGTGTACCATTTAACAATTACTTGAATAAGGCGCCATACAAATCTATACGAGACAAGGCACTCGGGAGGAAACTGGAGAACGCGGAGAAAACGTACCACACGTACGAGAGGGTGACACTCAATGCAGCCATCTCCTGGTCTCTCTGCCTACAACACCTGGCAAGCCACGGTGGTCACCCAAAATTCGACAAGATCAGTCACATTCACGGTGATGTGGTCATGGGGCAAATTGGGTGTGAACTCAGTTGGAACATACAGAACGGCCAGTGCACCGCGCTGTGACAACTTGGCAGGGCCCTCCTGCAAGAGAGTCATGAGACTGAGTGAGGCCTTCCAGGGTAAACAAGCATTATATAGTCGTCACTAAGCAATGATGCTAGTGCGGTGACATGAGGCAGATTCCGATGGACACCTCATGAACTCTGATTCTGTCTGAGCAGCCGCATAGCTCTCGAGTTCACAGGCAGTGTCACCGCACTGGGACCCATGGGCTGGAGTGGCCTTCGTGCGGGGATACAAAGAGGTGGGGAGGGGGCCCGAACCAACCACGTTCCACGTCCGCACCTGACATTGCGTTTCCCCTCGGCTGTTTGTGCCCGCAGGTTCAGGTCGGGCACTACAAGGTGGTGGTGGAAATGCTGACGGTGGACAAATCCAACTTGACGACTGCCATTTCTCTCTTCCTGGCCCTGCTCATTGTATGCATAATTGGTGAGCGATCTCTCGGCTCACCTTCGTCTACGTCGTCGTCGTCTTCGTCGTCTTCGTGAGCTCTCTGCCCAAGAGCAGGTCCCCTGCCTCTCGGGCTGCTCCCGTGCCACCCCACCCCCTGCCCTTCCCTCTTTAGCGCGAGACGGCAAACTTGACGCAAAGGGGGTTCTTTGTGCAGGAACGAGCTTTGACCCCAGCCCCTCCTCTATCCACCTCTGCAGCGGAGTTTCGATGAATTGTTGCAATTCGTGCTTGTGATTCAATTGGAGAATCAATTATTTACTTTAAATATTGAGGTGAATCCCACCCTCCTCTCCCTTCTTCAGTCTTCTTCACGTCCGCCTTAAATAGACTGTTCCTGATCGTCACCCCCTACCGCGGCTGGGCAGCGAGAACGGACGGCCCCGGTCGCCCCCTAATTTTGCGGGTGCATCGCTCCGGGGTTTGTTGCTGTTTTCCCCCTCTTCGAAACATACTTTGTATTCTGGCCTCTTGAATAACAACAAAGAACTTAAAACATGTTCGGGGTGAATGTAGCGGCACACCCGTGGCTGCTCACGAACGTTAATTGATTGTCACAATTCGGGTTCGATTCAAGAAACATTTGTGCTACCGTCGTGATGCATAGCAGCGCCCCGAGTTGCTGGAGGGGGTCACGTGAATCAGTCACACGGCTACCGTTTGTTCGGCAGTGTTGGTGATGGTGTTTTACATCAAAAACAAGAGAGCTAAGCACAACCTGCAGAAAATCCTCGTGCAGATGGAGGAGATGGAGGCGCAGATCCGAGACGAAATCCGCAAAGGTGAGGACTCCCGTCGCCGCTTTTCACAGAATTCTTCCCTTCATCGCTGCACGTTAAACACGCACACACACACCTGTCACCAAACCACGCGTAATGTGCCCGATATAGTCAGATCTCTGGAAGCTAAGCAGGCTCGAGCTTGGATAGCGCTTGATTGGGTGACCAACACGCAGTTAGAGAGCAGTGCAGCAAAATCCATTGTTGTACTCTACTTTGTATGCTCCCGTAGCATGGCAAAAATGAGCAACACACAACAAATCTGGCTTTCCAAAATGCAAGCCTCCTTTTCGAGAGGGAGTGACCTGACCTGGGGCAGCGAGCAAACATATTTAACGGAGAGAGTGAACTAACAGCTCGGCGACCACCGCCTCACTGCCATCTGCGAGTCGCAAAGCAGCAGGTACCGTACGTAGCAAACACTCGGCAATGCACAACAGTGCACGTTTGGACAAGGCAAAGTGAGAGAACGGGGGACTCCACACCGCCCACTTTCCATCCGTTCGAGGCGAACGAACGGACGCACGAACGGACGCACGAACGGCAATCTGTGGGGCGCGACCGCTACAGCGAGGCGGCGCCAAGGAGCGCCGTCGGAGCGCGTCAAACCACGTCGTCGCTCGCTCTCAAATGATTGCCTTCACACCCACCCACCCCCGCCACCCCCGGCGTAAAAAGGATTCGCGGAGCTGCAGACGGACATGACGGACCTGGCGTCGGAGTTCAACGGCAACCAGGGCATCCCCTTCCTCGAGTACAAGCACTTCGCCATCAGGATCCTGTTTCCGGAGGTGCGTCGCTCACCCAGTCACCGTCGACAGAGGGCACGGCTCGCGCCAGCGGGGGTCCGGGGCAGCACGCGTGCTCGCAATGGTTCACGGTTCAGTCCCCCGGCGATGCCGCCAGTCACGATTGGGATTCAATTCAACGTTGGCGTTATTTATTTTTGTTCGGCCGAGATACTACCCTGTTGGAGAGGCGCTATCGAGAGGCTGCCTCTGTCGAAGGCCCTCTCGTGCCAGCAGTGGCGTGAACAGGCAAATTGCAGGACTGTGCCCCTACTTTAAACAATTAGATTAAAAATTGCCGCTTGAGTTATTGCGACGATTGATTGCTCATTTTTATTGGCATTTCACGTGCAGTGTGCTTGTTTGTTCTTAACACAATGCTTTCGAGCAGGGGTGGGGAACGTCCGGCCCACGGGCCGTATAAGGCCCGCGAAATCATTTGATCTGGCCCTGCCAAGGCAACCGCTCGACTCGAAATTCAATAAATCTAGGCCCCTTTGTCATAGCAACATACATTTAATTTTGCATGGCCCGCAAATTATGTTATAAATATCCAAATGGCCCTTGGCTGAAAAAAGGTTCCCTACTGAGAGGATGAGGCACAGTGAGCTAAATTGTTCAGCAACTAGCAGCGTTTTTTTTTATTGTGAAGTTGTGCTTGCGTGTTGGTCACTTTCTATCTCCCCACAAGTCCACTTGCAGCTGCCGCTCGTAATTCATTGAGGTCATCCTTGCGAAAGCCTTGGCCAGTCTCCCAACCTCATAATGATGAAATGAAGGAACTCAGAGGCTGATGCATGCTACAGATTTGCTCTCACAATTACGTCAACCGCCAAACGTTGAACATTTATCATTAGCAGATTTTAAAACTGTTCGGATGTAATGATGTTATGGTTTTACAGCACATTCATAATGAAAGGGCAAAGTGATGAGTGCCGCTGGGCTACGATTCCAGTAACCTGAGTTCGATTCCTGGGTGCAGCTCACACGAGTATGAACCAGTCCTGGGTTCTTCCTACACTCATCCACCAGCCTGCACTGACCAGTGTGGTGAAGCATGGTGAAACAATCCCCATTACCAACACTGCACATGGAACCCTTCATCCAGTGGAAGATCGACAGGGCTGTACGTTGTTATAATCGAGGACAGAAGAGGCATGAAAGATTTATGTTCAAATGTTTTGTTATGTAAGTTATACAAACACAAAGATCTCCCAGTATAGCATTCACAGACTATTGGGACAAGTGCTGTTAGCAAGCATCTATGATGGCCGGCAGGAAAAACGAGGGGGTGGATGGCCAGTACCACGCCCGGTCGCCCTTGTCTCCCAAGTGGCAAAGTTTTTGCACATCGAAGTTGGCACTCAATTGAAGCTGAGTCGACCAGTTCAAATAATCGTCACTGCTGTTGGCCATGAGCGGGAATTGAATTCGGATCACCGGGTTCGTAGCGCGTCAAACTACAAACCGCTACACTCCCACTGTAACTTTTACATGTACTTATATCAAGTACTTCTTTTGGACTTATTTGTCCACCAAAGAGCCTCGGTGAGTCACATGACCCTTTTTCAGGCAGGGTCCTGCTGCATTGGGCGTTTTATTTTGAGATGTTTTTTTTCGTAATTGAAACTCGTTTTTTTTTTTTTACAAATGTGGGAGGAAACCGGAGCACCTGGAGAAATCCCACACACTCAAGGAGGCAGCATTCTACAGATGGAAACTTTACTTGTCCTGTACATGTTCAGTTGTCTTCACTTGTACGTCGCCATCATCAGCCGTGGTCAATCCACGGCTGGATGCAGGGACCTCCAAAAAGCTGCTGCTACCTCTCGCGATCGATCCCGCGTTGTAAAATTCCATCCGGCACCTGGCACACCAAACGATTTCATTGCTCCTTCTCCTGAGTGCACGTCGTCTCTGCAGTGTTCACACACACACACACATATACCACAGATATACATAATATTTTAAACTCGTTTTTGTGTGCCAGAGAACAGCAACATTTTGTTAAGTCCGTGGATGCAGAGTGCTGAGCAACACATGCGGGTTATTATTCCGATTACGTAATGCGGGAATCTTTTTGGAGCAGGCTCTCTGTGCATTTAAACAGAAATAAACCGTACACACACGCGCATTCCCTTCTCCAGAGTGTTTACAGAATCAAACCCTTGCTCGCCCCAGGGAGATCGGCCACTCGAGACGGCAGAATGGGAAAGGCATGGGGGACTATGCACGCATTGTTCCCCGTGTGTCTCCGCAGCACGAGCAGACTCTCACAGCCCGAGGCTGAGCACAATGGGGTGTCGCGATAGCAAGATGTTAACTACCTCGCATGGTGTACAGGAGGTCGCAGATTTGATCCTGTTCCCGACCCCGACGCTTGTATATTTTGTGTTTGCATGTTCTCCCCGTGGTCGTGTGGATTCTTCTTGGGGTCCTCCGGTTTTGCCTTCCACATTTAGAAATATGTGTTACGAGTATTTGGCTGCTATAAATGTCCACACGATAGACCAATTAATTGGGGTCTTTTTCAGAAGCGACCTGGCCACAAAAGATAGCCCAACGAAGTGGCTTATCATGTGGACATTTATAGCGGTCAAATACTCTAAATGCACGTTGATTCTCAATGTCAAGGGAAAAACCGGAAGACCCGGAGAAAACCCACACGACCATGGGGAGAACATGCAAACTCCAAATATACATGCGTCAGGGTCAGGATCATACCTATGACCTCCTGTATACCAGGCGAGGTAGTTAACATCTCACCACAGTACAGTTTATGGAAGCATAGGAGTACAGTACAACAATGCACTTCATTGCAATGCCTTCTGCTGACAAATTGGGCTAACAGCTGCTGCCTACAAAACCACGTTGTTATTCATGGTGGTTGCCAATTCCAAGCACTGTCTATGCTCGCCCCTACTTAGCTTTTGTGATCTTATGAGGTTGGGTGCGTTCTGTGTGATGTGGTCAGAGAATCGCGCCATTACACTCTCTCATTGCGAGGCCTGTGTCTCCCTGCTTAAATGAGCAATTCAGTGACGCTTATTTGTAGAAGCCTCCGATTAGCATGGTTGGCTATATACGGTGCGAAAGAAGTTCAACACACATACATAAACGCCGGTGGCATAACTTCCGTATTCCCACGGAAGGGGAACAGTCTCTCCGAAGGACAACCAACTGTTGATCTTCTTTCAAAAAGTGGTGCCGATTTTAGTGACTGCCCCCCCCGAAGGGATAATTGGCTGGGGGGTAATAGGCCCCAGGACGGGGGATTTGAACTCGCGGGAAAACCTTTTTCCCGATTGTGAGTCAATCACTGTAAACCGCAGTGCCAACCCAAGATAAACATCAATCAACTTTCCCCACCCCAACACCACCCGCAGGCATGAAAAAAAGGTCACAAAGTTGCGGCGCAATCACGTTTGCGGTGAAATCTCCGATGGCTCGTCGTCATTTTGTCTCGCGTTTGTTTTTCTGTTGTCGTTGCTTTTTTTTTTGTCCCCTTCAAACCAGACAGTGGAGCAGTTTCACACAGTATCACGCCAACTGCGCAGAATCCCCGCCACCGACAGCGCCCTGGTGCTGGACCATCCGCTCTTCGCCGCCGAGTGGAAGGTGAGAAGCGGCGATTTGCCAGCGGTTGCTCTATGAATTCAGTAAGTGAAGCAAGTAAATATAACCTCTCTCCCCCCCCCCCCCCCCCTAACGTGTAGTTTAAAGGCGAGGGGTTGGCGGCGAACAACAAATCAGGGGTGTGGGGAGCACGGCAGGGTCAGTGGCCGGTTTATCCTAGGAGCAAAAGTAGCTACGTATGCTACACGCCCCGCACTTTCAAGGGCCCCGCGCTAAATTCTTTCAAGCTATCAATTCCGTACTTTTTGGTTCTTTCGGTAAAGTCACGTAGGTAGAAGCATTTAATTAATTAAATAATGTTTCACGACGTTTCGATCAATTCCGGTTCAGTGATTCTGCACTTGCTCTATTACTAGAGTACTATACTGCCCAACTTTTTGGAACGACTGGGTGTTTAAGGTTAGCGATTTGTCGTATTATCTGACTGTATAGCAAATGAAAAAATGCAATTACTTTACTATGCAATAAAAAAAATTGTGTTTTAATATTTACGTGTTTTTTTTTTAATTTAGGACCCCTTTATAACATATGCCACAGGCCCCTAACTAGCTTAATCCGGCACTGGGCAGAGTCATTGTAAAGTAAACGTTCGGCCAGCGTTGAACACCCACACCTCCGATTGGCACGGGTGGCTACGTACGGTGCGAAAGAGGTTCAATATACATACACATTCGATATTGAACAAGTATATGGTAAGATTTGCATCCTGCTCTCCATCTCTCACCCTCTGTGTACACATACAGGGCTGCCCACAGAGAGGTGGGTTGGGTGGGGACAGATTAAAGAGGACCCCACAACAGCCCTCGGATTTTTGTCAGCCACGAAATAAGGGGGGGGGGGTCCCCCACATGGACATTTTTTTGCCCGGGGTTCTCCGCTAACCTCTGGGCGCCCCTGTACACAAATACACGTATATATTAACATAAAATTGGCGCAAATTATACAACAAAACGACACAACGGGGTTGTGGTGTCTATGTTTTGTGTGTATATGTTATGTGGAGAGCGGTAGTGTAGCGGTTAGCGTGCTCTGCTACGAACCTGGCGACCCGAGTTCGATTCCCACTCATGGCCAACACCGGTGACAAGTATCTGAACCGGTCCTGGCCCTCCCCTAAGTTGACTCAGCCTCAAATGAGTACCTGGTGCGATGTGGAAACATCGCCACTGGGGAGACAAATCTGGACGGGCGTGGTGTTGGCCACCCACACCCTCGTGTGCCGTGCCGGCCTTCATAGGTGCTGACTAACACCAACAGTCTCTTAAGGCTATACAGAGGATCTTTGTCTCTGTATTTTATGTACGTGGTGTGTATGTTTGTGTGGCTAGCGGTAGTTTAGTGGTTAGCGCGGCGACCCGACTTCGATTCCCGCTCATGACCAATATGAGTGGCGAACACTTGAACCGGAATCAGAATATTGATTTGTCCTGGAGAAAACAGTGGTGAATTTGTGAACCGATCCTCCCCTAGGTCAACTCAGCCTCATATTAGTATCTGCATCCATCCCCTGGTGTGCCGTGCTCACAGTCTCTTCAAGGGTGTTCGGGGGATGCGTGTCTTTGTGTTGTGCGTGGCGCTTCCCGCAGGTTCCCGAACTGCGTAGGCAAATGATGGAGGAGGGAATCGGCATCTTCTCCACGCTGCTCAACAACCAGAAATTCCTCATCACGTTCATCCACACGCTGGAGCAGCAGAAGGATTTCACTGTCAAGGACAGGTACACAACACAACTCCTTGCAATGCCCCCAGGGAACGCTGCCTTCCTGTACACAATCCAAATACGGCCATTCAGAGAGACCCATACATTTTTAGAGGGAACACAGACTTGCATGGGGACCCACAGGCCTCGAGACCCATACGATTCTCGCATTCCAATACAGCTGCAACAGATCTGGCATGTTTCGTTAATCCAGAGAGGCAACGATTCATAGGAGGAAGAAAAAAGGAAAGGACTTGTACCCTGGACTTTAACAGGGGCAGGAAGTCGACAGCCACGGACGGCTGGGGGCAGAGAGATTTAGATTGAAGGCGGCAAAGGAAAATGAGCGACCTCCTACCGAGCGAAGATTGTTTGGAGGGCTTTTACAGAAAGCATTCTAGGGTGGAGAGTGTGTGGAACGGAGAAGGGTGAGCTGAGAGGGAAGTGGTAGGAGACATGGGGAAGTGAGTAGAGTGAGAAGGGGAAGGTTAGGAGAGAGTGAGTCGAATAAGGATCTCGAAGGCGGTGAGTGGACAAGTCCCCTACTCTTTGTTTTTCACATCCCAATGCGCGAGCCGGCGGTGGTGGAACTCGCCCATTGAGGACCCTAACTTCAAGTCACAAAAATACTCGTGGGGTGACAAAAGAGATATAGCCAAGGGCTAGAGGTGCGGCGATAATGAGAGAAGAGAGGGGACTAGTCACCTCTGCATATTAGTTAGTCAGCTCGTTTATTGGAATTTGAATTCGATATTTGGGTGCGAACCCCGACTTTGCGTCACGAATCCGGTGCCGCCCCCGCCCCTCCCCACCCCACACCGCCTTGAGCTGCTTGCCGACGCTGGCTTCGCTCGCGGCCCTGCGCCGGCGCTGTCGTCCCCACGGCGTGCTCTAGGTGCTACCTGGCATCGTGGCTCACGGCGGCGCTGCAGGGCAACCTCGAGTACTACACGGCCGTGCTCAAGGAGCTGCTCGTCGACCTCATCAGGTCGTCCACCAACAAGCACCCCAAGCTCATGCTGCGCCGCACCGAGTCCGTCGTGGAGAAGATGCTCACCAACTGGATGTCCATCTGCATGTACGGCTTCCTGCGGGTGGGTGAAGCCGACGGGCCAGAGGGTCGAGGCGGCCCCGCTCCCGCCTGTCCGCGTATTTGAGCCGTCTCTTTGACTGTCCATCCGTCCATACGTTTACGTGTGTCGACACGACCGCCTGTCTTTTTTATTCGTCTGGCCGTTTCTCTGACTGTTTTGTTCGTCCGCCCTCCTTCCCCCGTCGTGAATGATAATATCATTGATGATTATCATTGTTATTCAGATGAATCTGAACATCGTCAGCACGTCCCTAACTGAGAGACGGATAGACACACAGGCAGGTAGGCAGATAAACAGCGAGGCAGGCAAAGAGATAGACATGTAGGCAGACAGAATGACAGACAGATAAACAAATAAACATACAGGAAGACAGCGAGAAAGAGTGACTCTATCAAACACAAATCATAATTTGTCTCTTTCTTTGCCTGTCTGGCTGTTTATCTGCCTACCTGCTTGTGTGTCTATCTGTCTCTCAGGGACGTGCTGCCGATGTTCAGATTCATCTGAATAATCCTAAGATCGAATATATTTTTGATGATTTCACGTGAAATAATTGTTTTGGATGATTCCAATTATTTCCCAGTACAAATCTAACTGACGTCTCTATAATGACGTCACTTTCACAGCTCTCCTGCAAAAAGTGACGTGGCATGGCATTGGGTGACGTCACTTTTATTATCACGATGTCATTTACATGAAAATCCGAAGATACAAAAACAACATTCAAATTGTTCTTAAAATTCTGACCAGAATCCAAAATGTTGCAGTCTGAAACTCAGCCGCTAATGCACCAGAATCAAAATATGTATTTATTCCGGAGGAATCCGATGAGCATATGGCTGTCTATACAACCTCCTGCCCAACGGCCTGTCTTGCCAGTGTGCCTGTGTTTGTACGCGTGCCTGCGTGTCTCTACGTAATGTCAGGTGACATGCAGAAAGCACGCTAGCTTATCTCCACTCAGAAGCAACGGGCTAACCCCACAAGTGGAAAAGCTCGTAGGCTTATCGCTGCAGAGCAGTTTACTTATATATAAACACACGCCATTGCACCGTGTAGATCTGCTTTCTGGCTCTATTTAAGTATGGCAAACTAGATAAGCACAAAGGCTGGCCAAGGCATCAATCTTAATCTGCCTCTGAAGTGGCACTCCTTTGCAAGCAGGCGGGCGGTCATTAGTCCCCATCCCCCCCCCCATGTTATTTTTGTCTACATTCCAAGACAGATTGGAGAGAGTGGACAGGGGGCGGGGGAAGGTGGGAGTGTGAATGGAGATTGTAAACGGGGAGGGTGTGGGGAAGGAAAGGATGGTGGGTTGGTAGATGGTTGTTTGGGGTTAGCGCGAGGGAGGGTTGGTCTTACCGAGGGCCCAAACACTTTGACCAAATTACCCCGAAATGGGAGCACGGACACAGACACCGCAGCCCCTCACAGTCACGCACGGGAAGGAAACCCAGATATACACACACCGTACTTTTAAAAATATATACCCACTTATTTTGACTAGATGAAAAAATGTTTCGTTTTAATCACGTACATTAAATGTAACGAATAAAATAACAAAAATGACTGAGCAAAGGTGTTACAACAGACACCCGTTTCAAAATGTATCTCAACAGGATCACTTTTTCATGCCAGTTTTAACCTGGATTTCCACCAAGATCCCCCTGAACCCCATCACTCACAACGAGTGCACATCGCAGAACGTCATCACAGTCGTGCGATTATTTACAGGACGGCCGCCACATTTAGCTCGGGGTCAATGTTGAGGGATGTGATGGGAGAAGAAGGCAGACAGAGGACACAAACAGGAGCAAGCCCTGACTCTCATTGTGTGCCTTTTCCTCCTCTTCGGGCGATTTAACGGATACCGGTGCCTGTGAGCCTAAACTAAAACCAAACTATTTTTTTTCTTTTTTACGAGGTAGGACCCACTGAGCAGAAATGACAGCTCAACAAAGTGGCTTATAGTGTGCTAATTTATAGCAGCCAGTTACTCTAAACGCATGTCAATTCTAAATGTGGAGGACCCGGAGACAAATCCACGCAACCATAGGGAGGACATGCCAGCTCCAAATATGAAGGTGTCAGGATCGGGATCGAATCCACGACCCCCTATATACCAGGCGAGGGAGTTAACATCTCGCCAATGTGGCACCCCTCTAGAGCCTCTATCAATGCTACTTATAATTCTCTGCCACGAATCGTTCGTCCAGTGCTCGCCAAACTGCACTGGCTTCAGGTTGCTAAGCGAATACATTACAAGGTCGCACTCAACACACACAAAGTGCTTGCCACAAATGAACCACACTACCTCGCTGATCTCGTCAAGAAGCATAAACCATGATCACGGCGAACTCCGGTCATCCTCGCAGCAGCTTTTGGCTAACCATCGAACAAAGACAGTCACCGCATCGCGCACTTTCAGATGTGCTTCTGCAGCCGTCTGGAACGCTCTCCCTTCCGATATTAGAAAGCCACGGGAGCTATGCACTTTTAAGTCACCTAGATTGAAAACTATTTTTTTTTTCAGAATTACTATTTGTTTTTAGTTTGTTGCCCTTCCCCCGCACCTCCGATTAGCACGGTTGGCTACGTACAGTGCAAAATAAGTTCAGCATACATACGTACGTACATGCACCCTCCTCCCCCTGCTCCGCGCTGTGCACACACACAGGACCGAGTCGGGGAGCCGTTCTTTCTGCTGCTCACGGCCATTCGGCAGCAGATCAGCAAGGGGCCGGTGGACGCGGTCACGGGCCGTGCCAAGTACACGCTGAGCGAGGACTGGCTGCTGCGCGAGAACATCGAGGCGACCGCCCTGGTGAGTGGCGGCTGCAAATCACTTACCCCTCTTCGCTCCCTGTGAAGCATAAGCCCACGACGCCATGCCGGACGGTCTTTAGCAGCTTTCTCTGCAACCCAGCGTCACGCGCTGTCGTCACGGACTCACGCGCACGCTCACGGCCGTGTTGTAGCTTCAATCACGGCTACAACGCACCTCCACCTACCTCCACCTACCACGCCTACCCCCGCACGTGCTCGCTGGCCGGATGAACTAATCCCACGGCGTCGCGTTGGAGTTGTCCATCGATCAAGTGGCGGCGAATGAGCGAAGTAAAAAATCTAATTCACGTGAATACCGGCCAGCAATGTTGTTAGTTACTTTTTTTTTGAAATGTTAATAATCCTATTTAATAGGGAGGGAGGAGGTAAGTCCAGATTCTTTATCAGTTGTTGGAATGCCTGTCGCTAGAGTGAGTTTTTTTTCCCCCCGATAGGGACATTTAGGTAGATATCATTCGTGCACACAGATTACCCGAATTTATTTCTGGCCAGGTGAGAGACAGCCCATTGGCACAAGCCTGTCTTTTATATATTTTGATTTAGATGAACAACACGCAAATACAGTGCAAGCACAGTCCAAGTACAGACAGCCCTCTTGTCAATCCACTGCTGGATGGGGAGCCTCTCTCTGTGCTGTGTGGGCCATGGGGGTGTCATGTGACCATACTTGCGAGAAGGGCGCCGTGGTGAAGAGATGTTTACCACCTCGCCCGGTGTACGGAAGGTCGTGGTTTAGATCCTGACCCTCCGGGTCCTCCGGTTTTTTCCCTCCACATTAGGAAACACGCGTTTAGAGTATTTGGCTGCTATGAAGTTCCACGTGATAAGCCACTTCGTTGAGCTATCATTTGTGGCCCAGGTCACTGCTGAAAAAGATCTACATAGCTCAGTGGGCCTTATCTGGTAAATAAACAACATAGTCCAAATAATTTTAAATACTTCACGCTGGAAAAGTGGGGGAGCACAGAAGACGTTTGAACATAATCGTTAACAACACCGGCTGTTACTTCACTGCCTCTGCAGACAATGTAGTCTATCCTAGCGGTAGCCAACTACAGCGGTTTTTATGCACTACCCGGCACTATCCAGGCTCAGCTTTGCTTTAACTATCCACGGGTCTAACTTTTGTCGTTGACAAACATGCAATTACAATCGCTTAAAAGAAAAAAAAACAGGAGCAGTTTACTGACATCCGTTTTATCTATTCGTTGTTGACAGGTGGAGAGTGTGTTTGCCTCTCATTGAAAGTTTAACACACCGCAAATGCAATCTCCAGCCAACAGTCAGTCAGTCCCTCTGCTCTCTCCAGATAATGTTTTTTTTTCCTGTCAATCATTCACTGACCGAGCTTTATGATGGGTGCTTTCACACCATTGTCAGTACAAGTCCCTGTAATGTTACTGCTGACTCGCCACCGCTCAATCACTGTTTATTTGTTACACGGAAAGTTCCCGTTTACTCAGTTGCCCAGATGTTTTGGGTGCCAAGGTGGCGAGATGTTAACTACCTCACCTGGTGTACAGAAGGTCATGGGTTCGAGCCTGACCCTGACGCCTGTATACTTGTGGTTTGCGTGTTCTTTCCGTGGTCGTGTGGATTTTTCTCCGAGTCCTCCGGTTTTTCTCTCTACATTTAGAAAAATGCGTGTAGAGTAGTTGACTGCTGTAAAATTTCCACGTGATAAGCCACTTCGTTGAGCTATCATTTGTGGCCAGGTCGCTTTTGAAAAAGAGCTGTATAGCTCAGTGATCCTTACCTTGTAAAATAGAAATAGTTTCGTTTTTAAGTTGTTTTCGTTTGCAAGGGAGATGTGTGGTGCATCAGCGCAAAAAAGGCATCGCGAGAGCGACCCTTACAGAGGAACGGGGCAACAATGGAACAGAACGTGTCAGAGGTGCAGGCAAAAAATAGTGCTTACAGAACAAATATTTACAGTGTTAACATAGGCCTGCACTAGAGGGAATTGTAGAGAGACCCTTGTAAACGATATATTGGCTTAATTTCCATGCTGGCCATACGTCTTGTAAGAGATTAAAATATATATGTACGATACATATTTATTTTCTGATTCGATTGATTCAAACTGGCAATGGAAGGAGCAATGAACAAACAAATAATCGAGGGCATGGCGTGTTCATGGTCCCGTGCTCGTTACGCTTAGGCAAAACAGGCTGGCGAGTCAGTAGACATTGACGTCAGAGCACAGGGAAGTCGTGCCCAGAGAGCCCCCCGCGTCTCATTCCTCTCCAGACAGGGACGATGAAACCCACTCGATTGAAAACCACAGTGCCTGCTTCCTCCGCCCTGCACTTCGCTTCGCTTGAGCCAGTCGATTCAAGAAGGAGTGCAAGCATGTTTAAAAATGGCACAGCACAACTCTTGAACACGAGTTTCACAACGGACGTGTGTACAAGTACTGTACAGCCCTTTCATCGATCCACTGCTGGATGAGGGCCCCCCCCCCAAAAAAAAGTATCACGCTTGGCGAACGCGGCGAGCACAGACACACGGAAGCGTAGAAGTAGAGTACAGCCACGGGTATTCAGAATCAGAATATTTATTGATACCGGAGGAATCCGATGAACTATGAAGTTCTTTTTCACAGATGTGCAGTAGGGGCGGGTCAGAACGTTAGGACAACAAACAGTTATAAAAAAACACGATAGGAGTGCAAAGTGTATGAAAGGTAAACAAATCACTTTCAAAGTTATACAAATAAAAATAAACTATATATTTTTTATCTTACCAGGTAAAGCCCACTAAGCTATTAGTTTATTTTTCAAAAGTGGTCTGGCCACAAATGACAGCTCAATGAAGTGGCTTATCACGTGGAAATGTATAGTAGGCTCACTGACACCTGCTTGTGCACAGTGGTCAACCATTCAAGCACTCTCAAGGCTCAAACCTTGCTTAGCTTCTGAGATGTGATGAGATAGAGGCGCATCACAACAAGACAATTGCTGCCAATTTTCTGCTTGGGTGAAGGGTGAATGGTGAATGGAAAACGCTTGAATGGCAGGGAGCTCTTGCACAGCTAAAGTTCGGAGGCGAGGGGGGGGGAAGCAGATGCTATTGTTTACTTACTCTTGATGTGGTCCAGCAGACCACTGGTCCATTAGTTCATTTGTAAGGCTGCTAAGTTAAACCCACAGCCAGGAAGACCTCACTTCCTTTGAGACAATGTCTATAACAACAAGCGGGCAGAAGCAGGAAAGCGTATGTGGAAGGTTGGGGAGTGTCGCGCGTAAACTAAACTATGAAACTATTTTATTTTACCAGGTACCAACAATTTATATGGAACTCCTCTTAACTGCCGTGATACGGGCGACCAATATTGCGGATCCCATGATCCGTGATTGTATTCCTCTTAGGGGCATAGCATGGTGCCATGGTGGCGAGATGTTAATGACCTCGCTTGACATACAGGAGGTCGTGGGCTCGATTCCAACCCTGACACCTGCATATTTGGAGTTTGCATGTTCTCTCTCCGTGGTTGCGTGGATTTTTCTCCGAGTGCTTTGGTTTTTCCGTCCACATTTAGAAACACGCATTTGGAGCATTCGTGATTGGCCACTTTGTTGAGCTATCATTTGCGGCCAGGTTGCGTCTGAAAAGAGCTATATAGTTCACTGCGCCTCACCGAATAAAATGTAAATAGTTACATAGTTTTTGTGTGGGGTGATACATTGTGGGTTAATGCGGATAATAGGACGAGTTTACCGCAGGACCCCTTATCCGCAAAGAAATCGCAGATGATAGGATGCCATTCCGTAAAGACTTATGGGAAATGTTGCGGATGATCGTGTATAATAGGAAGATATAGAGTAGTGGATAATAGGATTTTTCACAGATCGTACAGCTTCTAGATATAATAGGAGTTGCGAATAATAGGGCCGTGGTTAAGATGACTATATATTATTGTATTGAAAGTGTGCAGTGAGTGAATTCTATCATCAGTGCATATTATGGGTGAGCAACATACACATTGACATATATAATGTAAACATGCTTGGAGTACAATGAGGCAGAAAGAGTCACACGTAGATTGGAGAACATACGCGCGTATAATATATCTTGACGACTTTTAAAAAAATATATAATAATAATCATAAAAATAAGCAGGCTGGGCAGGGACAATGACTGACGGTCGAGACAAGCGACAGCTAAGGGAGAGAAGGCGCTAAATAAAAAAGTCTACTTGCAGAGATGGAGCGCGAAATACATGAGCTTGTGTGCGGGTGCTCGTTGGATTCTTGCATCAGACCACGGCGAGACATGCCTGACAGCTTGTGGGCGGCCTGCATCAAGTAGTGCACAGATCATGGATGGTAATGGTACATTACTTCATCCATATCAATGTCTAAGGTCTTCTGGGTTCTTTCGGTAAAGTCACGTAGAATGGAGATAAAATAATAAAAAAAATAATAACAGAATAAAATTCTCACGACGTTTCGACCACAATACAAGTAGCCCTCCTCAGGTGAAGAAACGGGACTGTCCGGAAGACAGCGCTTGAGTGAACCCTGCCAAGCGTAGCAGCGTCTTTAAAGCTGTGTGGGAGGAACAGAGCGCCTTGACAAAGGAGTTTACATATAAATCAGCATGTAACTGGGGGATTAGCATGATGTTGGTGTGAGGGATTAGCACCACGGAGAGCGACGAGCTTTGTTCAGACGGACGAGTCCATCTTTGTTCGGAACGGAGGAGGGGGGGAAGAGGAGGAAACAGCCACGGTGCGCTGCTCTGTCCTGTGTTGCGTTATAACTATGCTATAAACTAGAATACTAGGGGTGTTTAAGGTCATGATATAGGCATGGAGTATCTTGATTTGAAGCTATGGTGGCTGCAGGAATCCATACTCTTTCAGCAGTTTTCTTGCTATGGTTGTCTCGCCTGATGACGATTGCTTATGTTGCGATCAAAACATCGTCATCTATTATTTTTTCTACCTACGTGACTTTACCGAAAGAACCAAAG